ATAATCATATATACACAGATGAGCTCTCATTCAATATTATGTTTTTTTGTGATATTCCAATTGGGACCGAAACTGTGTATGACCTTTGGTACCTGACTAGTATAAATGGACTTTCAATTTTTAGGGTTTAACGTGATTTTTATTGACAAACATACTATCAAGTCTTTTAAGTATTATTCCACTCATGCATATTACGAAGCATCAGTTGCCTCCGGTGTAGAAGAAAATATAAAAGAAGGAAACAATTATTTCGGCTTTTTTAATATCTTTTCTTTCTTTTTGTTCAAACTTTCTAAAATGTAATGCTTTACTCCCATACTTGTCATGCCAAATTTTTTAACCATATATTGCTTTATTTTAGTTCTTTGAAATCCAAACATGCATATCTATTATAGGCTATCATTTGGACGTATTTCTTAGGTGCACTTTAAATGTTTTTTATATCAGCTTAACCACCTCTATTCCCGGACCATTAAGTCAGTTTAACAGTAGGTACACAAAAACAATATCTTATTAAGCATACCCGTATCTAATTTTTTTCAAAAGGTTATGCAAGCTGTAAAAATACAGGAACAACGCGACTGCTCTGCGTAATTAATTCTAATGCTTGGCCGTAGCGAATTGCGCTGGTTTACTCTACTGTGAGGTCTGATACGGGAAATACTTAGACAAAAAGATACATAGCGCTGTTTTTCTACTATTTCTATAATAAAATAAAATAAAATAGAATATACTTTCCTCATAATATTCCCTTATACATCGAATAATTTGCTATATGCAACGAGTAACGTTTATGAAACCTTACCCTTTTGTGTATGTGTGTATATGTGTGTATATGTGTGTGTATGTGTGTGTTTTTGTGTGTTTTTGTGCGAGTAGTGTAGGATCAACCCTGACAATTCCCGAAGCGTTAAATACAAATGTTTATAAAGACCTCAAAAGTAATAATAGATTAAGCTTTTAGTTTCAGATACATGAGATCATTCAGTAATTAAGTTATTTGTTTAGCCACGATTTGCATCGTTTGTTTATTTGATGAATTGCATAATGTACAAAGTTTGAAGTTCCACAAAAAAAAATAACAATTGTCATCGGAGAACGTGATGTTTGCATAACTTTAAATAGTTGCTTGCAGCTTACATCACAAAATGTGTTACTACAAGATTTAAAGTCAACCCATCCCCCCACTATATTCAAGTTAAGCAAATTCGATTGTCAATCTTTGCATGGTATTGTTCCACCCGACAGAAATCACTTTGTCGGATTAATGTCAATTGTTTGGTTGGTATTGACCCAACCGATACCAAAACTGAGACATAATTGACTGCACGAAATTAATCTTTTAACTATGTGATTTGACTCATCTAATAATCGAAATACTGTTTTTCTCCCTCTATTTAAAGATTTTCTTTACCAAGTAGATATTATAATGCAGCGTGATAAAAGAAGCTATAAAAAACGAAAAACTCCCGTTCCGGTCGCGAAAAACAGTAGTCAGATCAACTTTCGGCTTGAGACTGATATTGAAAGACCTAAATGCTCGCTCTGTGAAAATAGTTCGTTTGACACAATAAGGAACCTTAAAAGGCATTTGATTACGCGACATCATATCACGACCGATGGATTCAAGCAATTGATTGCAGATTATTATCCTGAGGGCTCTCTCGATACAGATACGGACTCAGACGTTGAGGAAGAATATGAGCTTGATGAATATCAAGACAATGATATTGCTGACAATGATTTTGATGATGAAGACGAATCAATTGGCAATGAAAATCCAATGGATGAAATGTTTCAAACTTTGCGTCGGCAAATGTCGTATTCAATGGATAATCCGACATCCGATGTTGAAGCTGATGTTAGCTCTTTTACGCAGAGCACAATTTGGAATAGCAATGTCTCCGATACGCATCCTTTTGCAAATATGCAGACTATGATTCTACATGCCCTTGTGGATGGTGACAATGACATGATATCTCGCAGAATAATGAAGAAGATTTTGTTTGTCATATCGCTTCTTATGAAAGTCAAAGAAAAAGCTGATAATGAAGGTGTAAGTTTCGTATTACCAAGGCTAGATAATATTATAAATTACCAGAAAAGACAAGGAAACAACATGCCTATCTTTCCATCAAAGCTAGTAGATGTTTCGCTGACCGACAATAGTACAATTACTGCATGTTTGAATCTACCATCGGATCACGTAAGACTTTCCGTGGCCAACCCTAACCAATCTGCTTTGATTTGTTCTGTACCTGATCGTAGCAGCAACATGTTTGACAGATTAGAGCAAGGGGAAAAATGGAGGTCGCATGAATACTTTCAGCAGCCCATGTGGACAGTCAACAGCATTGACTATTGGAATGGAGACTGGGTGCGACTGTCAAATACCCCTCCAAATATGAATTTCTTGGTTAAATCTTTCCACAGTTGCAACAAAGATATGTATGCAAGGGGACATTTGACTTACCAAGCTCGCAATAGCAACCAGATTGGTATTGAATTAAAAGAGACTGATGTTCTGGCACAAGCTTTGATGTGTAAGATTGGTTATTTAAACCCTGGTGTATGCTTCAGCATTAGTCCCACTGAGGTATCTCCACTGACAGATAGTCATGCTGCTTTGTTACGTGGTTCACATCGTTGGAGAAAGCTCAAAGACCAAAGAACAGAGGAATATTATAAAGTTAAAATTGCCCCAATAATTTTATTTACGGACGACACCTCTGGTAATATTTCTAAACAGTTCAATGGTTATGAGAGCTGGTCGATGAAGTTTGCTGGATTGAATTTTGATCAAAGATCGTCAATCAAAAACGTGCACTTCATTTCTGCTATACCAAAAAAAAATGGTGGAAGTGGTATATCTCTCCTGCCTGCTATTGTCGACGATTTGAAAACATTAGAAAGTGGAATTATAGCCTATTCGGCCGAAGAAGATCAAGACGTTTTAGTTGTAGCACCTGTTTTATGGATTGAAGCTGATACTCCATGTCATTCAGAGCTATGCGGATTGCTTTCTCCTACTTGCTTATATCCTTGTAGAAAGTGCTACGTTTTACTTCGAAAGCGGATTGCCAATTCCAAACCTTCTGATTACTTCACTTCAACGCATACTGAACGAACCAGGAATCAATATTGGAATGCGGCCTCGGATTCCCGACGAGCTACGATTATACATAATGCACCCAAAACCGGAGAAAGTCTTTCTGCTAAAGATCTATGTTTTAAGGACAGAAAGACTGACAAATTATTAGAATTGCAAGCATACGATCCGGCAAAAGACACTCCGGTGGAGGTTCTTCACGCGATTTTGCTTGGAATCAGTAAATATTTAGTCGTTGATCTAGTGAAGACAGTATTAAAAAATCAAGCCGTACTATTAAACAGACTTTCAGAAACCATTGATCAGTTTCAAGAAGGTAGCATGGGCTTATCAAGAAAATTCACAAGACAGTTGAGACATTGTGGCTCCTTTTTGGGTAGAGACTTCAAAGTACTAGTCCAAATTCTTCCTATTGTGCTTACGAAGTATTTTTCTGACGAGGCAGTTTTGAGGGATATTACAACTTTGTTTGTTTATCTCGGAAAGCTATGCTCATTACTTTTTGTAAGGGAGATGAAGGCAGATCTGAACGAATATATAACATCTGTCGAATTGGCTATCAAGGATTTTATCAATGCACTTCACCACTATGATCTGAATTGTAATATTCCTGGTCATAATGCATACGTAGGAAAAGTCAAAGTTCATTTATTGACACACATTCCGGAAGACATACGTCGATTTGGAACAGTGTTGCATTATGAGACCGAAAAAGGAGAACAGTTTAACAAGCACATTAGGGAGCATATCACCTACACCAATAAGCTGAATCCTTCCAGAGACGTTGGGCTAAAATTTGCTAAACAATCTATGATGCGGCATGTACTTGAAGGCGGTTCGTGGCTGAATGAAGATGGCATCCGGGAAAAAACAACAGAAGATGTGATGTCTTTTATTAAAACTAACGAGTCAATGTTTTATCTCAATCTTTTGGGTGGATCAAGGGAATTTATTGACAATACTGACCCAAATTACAAAAAAATATCAGAAGGCAGCTTCGCTGTTTTTAAAAGTAATCCCAATAGTACTGATGTACATAACCCAGGCCATGCGAAATCATTTGTGGGTATCGTTCAAGGGCCCAATGTGTTGCCTGTAGAGCTAAATGAGCGAACTCCAGAAAGAGGCTACCTGCTGGTGCAAGTTGACAACACCAAGACGGTAATATCCCAAGCTGAACTCGAGGTGGAGGGTGTGTTAAATGTTTATAAGCAAGGTGATGGTACATTTATCATCAATATTTACAAATTTGGTTCTTACTGGCCAATCAAAAACATGCAGTAATTAAAAAAAAAATTCAAAGAATTTTGTATAACAAAGTTTTCCCTTTTAATAAATATGTTTATGTCTATTTTTTTTTCAATTACACAAAAATCCCAAAAAAAACCTCGTTATAGGACCCTAAGCCTTCAAAGGAAGGTCTATTTTGAAAAAACACTAATTACACAAAGTATTTTTATTTGAGCCAATCAACAACACAGAAAAATGCCTATTCTAATTTTAGGCCCTAAAAATCTACGGTGGTGTTTTTATTTTCGGCTGTTGTAATTTTATTTACAAGCGAGTGCTATTTACAAGAGTACTGACAGCTTACATCTTTATATAAATTCATAAATAGGGATCTATTATTATTATTATTTTTTGTATTTTATTTTTTAAACCTTCATGAATTGCTTCTTTTTTAAAATCAGAGACACGTTGTTCAAAAAAAAAAAAAAAAAAAGGGGGGGGGATGCACTCAGAAAAAAAAAAGGGGGGGGGGAGGAGGGGGACGCGAAAAATCATAGTCACATCAGCGGTTTTCCCCAAAACCAAGTTTTTTGTTATGGTACGAAATCCATTTCATATATATCTTTTTCTTCTTCCCCCGTTTGGTTACCTTTTTTTTTTTATGAGTGAGGACGAGAACAGAGAAAAACGTTCCTTGACAGACGCAGAAAGCGGACTTTTCAAAAAGCAAAAACTGGACGATGAAATGACACTACCGATTTTATCCAACGCTTTAGTCTTGGATAAAACTCAAGAAGACACCATTAACCAACTTGTTCAAAGTAGTCTAGTCAACGGTAGTCATTTTTGTTTATTTTGCCACGTTCTTTTTTTTTTTTTTTTTTTTTGTCTTCATTATGACTCATCCTTTTTTTTTTACAACCTATAATGAAATAATTAGAAACTGCAGAGAAGGCGGATCCAAAATGTAAAGTATTTTCACTACGAGGAAGCAAAAGAGAAAACTCTCATTTCAAAAACAAAAGCAAAGCACAAAGGGGGGTTGAAAACTGACCACCTTTCTCTTCTTTTTTTATTCACCATAGTAACAGAGGACACCAATAAAAGTGCTATGGAACCAGAAATTGTGTCAGCAGATATCGAGAAACCAGTCACGGGTAAATTTTTTAAAAAAAAAAGGCATGTTTTATTTTGTTGATCATAATAAACATAGCAACAGCAACAGCAGCAGCAGCAACAGCACCCGTGGAAAAGGACAAATCCGTAACAGTACCAGCAACAGCGACTGATGATTTAAATATAACCAGTGAACAGTTATTATTTGCGCTTACATCCATTCCACCGACCGAAGAAGAGAGTTCAGGTACAAAACCTCTTGCAAGTTTAAATGCCGATACATCAATGCAAGCGGATAAATCCGTCAAAGCAGCAGCACCACCAGCACCAGCAGCAACAGCACCAACAGCAGTAGCTACTGCAGTAGAAAAAAAAGTGCCCATGGTATTAGATATGGAGATTCCACCACCTCCTGTACCTCCTACACTCTCACCCACCACAGGCTTGGGTATCACACCTAATAAATCTACCCCGCCACCATCAGCAGCAGCATCATCATCAACAACAACAACAACAACAACAGCAGCAACAGCAGCAGCAGCCACCACCACTACAACAACTAATTCGATACCAACCAACTCCATGACTAATTTACCAGACATTAGTGCCGCTTTGCGACGACTGAGCAGCCATAGTGTCCCCGCCTCTGTCATTGAGCAACTCTCTTCCTCGCCACGTTTACCACATATTGGCCACCTGAATCCCAATAACAACAATAATAATAATAATGAACGAAGAGCCTCGATGGCCACTGACGTATCACCATCCGAAATGTTGGGAAATGCATTAGCGGCTGTAGCAGCCAATGCTGCTGCTGCCTCTAGATCCTCGCCAAAACCTTCTCCCGTTTCCAATACGAGTAGCAATCATGCTACCACAGCAGCGATTGGTAGTTTAGCAGCCATCACGGCTAATATTAGTAATTTATTACATTCTGGTGGATTTCATCGAAATTCGTTTAGTCAGGAAGATACACAGAAATTAGCGGCGGCAGTGGCAGTAGCACGAAATGGAAGTAGTGGTCATCAACAACATCAACAACAACAACAGGTTCAAACACAAAGAAGAAAGAGCTCGATGGCGGTGGTAGGTAATGCATTTTCCAACATGATTGAAATGATGGGACGAAAGCCTGCAATACCTAAACCGAAACTGATCATTAAGAACGAACAAGTATGGAAAAGCCTGCAAGGGGTTCATGAGCGGAGTCTTGGATTTCAAGTGTATACACCCCAATTGATATTACCACATTTAGAACGATGTCTGAATGGTGTGATGGAAATTCGCGTGCCAGCAAGGTATTTAACGTTTGAGAACATGCGAGTGAAAAAACGTGCTTTATGGGGAACCGATATTTATACGGATGATTCGGACATTGTAGCAAGTAAATAACTTTTTTTTTTTTATCCACCTCCCCACACGTTTTCTTAAGAAAAAAAAGAAAAAACCTCATGTTTAACCTTAATTCATAGTGGCGATTCATTCGGGTAAATATCAACCACAATTTATCGAACCTGATATTGGAGCGGATGATCCATTTGCATTGGCTGTCGCTGGTAAACAGAGAGAATCGACGGAAGCGGCCAAACGGTTGGCACTTTCAGGTAAAAAATGGGTGCGTCATGATAATTTAATACCCGATCATGACTTGAAAGTGACAGTACGTGTATTACCCACTTTAAAAAATTATGCAAGTTGTATTCGATACCGATTAAAATCAAGAGAATGGGGTAAACATGATGGTATGAGTTTGTATGTGGACAAGGTTGAAAAAGTCAAGGTAAAAAACTTTTATAAAAGAGAAAAAAATGTATATATAGGTAAATTAATAAAGTTTATCAATGAGTGTAGAAGGGAGAGGCTAGATTAAAAGGTCGTAGTACAATCAAATCCAACCTGTTTGCGTATGAGCCATATCGAAAGCAAGCATTGGGATTGACTCAAAAGATAGTCAAACAAGAAGATAACCTGATACAGGAATCCATGCCACATTTTCAAAGGGGCAGAGTTAAAAAGTCGCCTAGAGTCATGCGCATGTTTAAGGTAAAAAAAAAAAAAAAAAAAAAAAAAAAAAAAAAAAAAAAAAAAAAGGGTGCCAAGCTGCTTTCATATTGAAATTACCCTTATATCTTAGATTCATTCTGAAATGTTAAAGAACGTAGAGAAATAATTTAATTAAAATGGGAGATAATAAATCATGTCGGCTTAGGAGGATGTGTGGGGTATTTACTACTACTACTACTATTTTATTAAAAATCATCAAATTGACGAGCCAACTCATCCATTTCAGCCTTTGCTGCCTTATGCTTTTCCACGAGATCTTCATACTTTTCCTCTTGTTCGTTTAACTCTTTTTCAAGGGTGGCGATTTTACGTTCAGCCTCTTCTGCTTTTAAATCAGCTTCTGTAAAGCTATAAATAACGTATCAGTGACCCTATCTGACGGAGGACGCGTCATGCCCACTTTTTTTTTTTTTTTTTTTTACTACATACTTTTCAGTGCTAGTCTTGAGTTTGGCTTCAGCATCATCAAGCTTAGACTCTAAATTCTTGACTTGATTTTGAAGAGAGACGAGTTCATGATCTTTGGAAATATGTTCTGTCTCCAACTGTTTAATATGAGCCTCGAGTTCATCAGCACGAGCAGTTGCGGTTTCTGTATCAGCACGAAGTAATGCAATTTTCTATAAAAAAGAAAAAAAAAACGCATACTTTTTTGATCAATACCTCCCTTCCTTCCTCCTCTCTAATTCTTTTTTTTTTTTTTCAAAGCTTACCTCCTTGAATTTTTCCATAATTTTTTTTTTAAAAGATGTATAAAAGAAGAAGAGAGCAAACAAAATAGCGAGGCATTAAATAGGGCGGGGGCGGGGGAACAGGAGTCTTTTTTTACGGAATATGAAAAAAACTTGTGCTTGCAGATAGTACATTGATTTCACTGCCATTTTTGGACATGTTTTTTTAAAAAAAAAATTAAATATGGCGAAATTTTACAATGTCAGGTCCGCATACCGGCTGATCAACCAAGTTGTGTTATGTTATTATGACTAAAGTTGTTAAGCTGTTAAAAGATGATGTTTATTCAAGGTTCATAAACAGAAATATGTAAGATGATGAAATTATAAAACCGTGATTCGCAAGTCGTCACAGTTGTCATAGTTGTCAATACTTGTACTAGCAGCCACACCTTTTTTGGATTCAATCGATCTTCGAGCGTGCATCCGCTTCTAATTTAAGGCTGCAAAAAAGACGAACAATAACGCTTTCTATTAATAATACTCTCCATTTCACTGTTCTTTTTTGCTTTTTAGTTTCTAATTTTAATGGTTTGACAAACGCATCCAAAAAATTCAGTCTTCTCAAATAAATGACGGCGTTCAAAGAGTGGGTACCAAGTATAAGTTTGATGTAAACATTACTTCCTTCGGTTTGGCGCATGGTACATATTTCAGAATCATTATGACCTAAAGACGGGACAGATGTGGATTGGCGAGTGGAACCAGTGGAGCTACGTTGTTTTGCGTGGCTATCGATATCATGAACATGACCATAAACTTCCCATGCTATAATAAGACGTAGGTACGTTGAGTTTTGTTATTGTCTAAAATATAATAATTAAGAACGAAACGACAATCAAAGTAAAAAAAAAAAAAAAAAGCAAAAATTACCCATGTCAATTTGAACAAAACTCACAAGACGTTAGACTAAAGCCGTTTTATAAAACCCCAGAATTCTGTAAAGAAAACTAAGTTTTAGACGGAAATGTCCAGGCCTCCATATTTTTTATTTATTTATTTACCACTTGGATGAGCATTTTCACCATCCTTCATAACTGACGTAGCTAACATAGCTAAGAACCTTGATGATAGAGCCCCGGAATTGATAGATGTCGTGCTTTTACCATATGTAAATACTGTCATGGGTTGTTGTAAGTAGCCATGGAACAATGAGGATCGTAATGCAGAGTAAGTATCTATTTTATGGAACCGAGTTTATGCTGGCGAAGTTGCATGATTTGGGAATGAGTATAAATATAAATGGACTGCAAGTTAGTCTTTTCATCAAGCGCTAGAGAGTCAGACCATGATTCCGAACCAAGATACAACTTGTACTTTAAGTGGGAGTTAGGAGACACACCGAAATTGACAGTGTTTGGCCCGCATTCAGGTTGATCCACCAAGTTGTCGATCCGTGTACCAGCAGTGACAAGGGCGCTGAACGAGTGGGTACCCAGTATAAGCTTGATGGAAATATTGCTGCCTTCAATTTGGCGCATGGTGAAAATTTCGGAGTCATTCTGGCCTACAGACGGTACGGATGTCGATTGGAAAGTGGAACCAGTGGAGCTACGTTATTCAGCGTGGCTTTCAATGTCAGGGTCACGGCCATATACTTCTCAATTATTACTGATCCGATTAGTGCTCTTGCTGTGATGAAACGTTGGCTTGGCTTGATGTCATGGTTGAGTAGTTCGATCATTTCCTTAGTCAATTCAGTGCAGTGGCGTTTGGTTAAATATCGGGAGTATGCTCCAAATTCACCAATGCTGTTGACTGTATCGCGAGTTGGAAACATTGTTTGAGGAGATGCTTCTTGGACAGGACGACTTACAGTGAGTGAGGTTGGTTTAGCAAGCATGTTCTGGAACTTTTCGACGTGGCTTGGGGATAAAATCACGTCTACCTCATTACCATCTTCATCATTTACTGCAACAGGAACAACATCGTAAAAATCTGCAAACATTAATGCCCGTTTTTTTGAGTTACTTGTACGATTTGTTTCGCCCATGGCAAACAAAAAGGCTTGATCGTATGTGCGTTGTGATTTGTTATGGTCTAAAATATGATAATTAAGAACGATACAACTTTCGGATTAAAAAAGCAAAACTTACCCATGTCAATTTCTTAAAAAAAGATGGATAAAAGCAGAAGAGAGCAGACAAAATAGAGAGGCATTAAATAGGGCGGGCGAGAGGACAGGCGTCTTTGTTTTTTTACGTAATATGAGAAAAAAAATTTGCGCAGCAGACAATACAGTGCTTTCACGGTCCGCATTCCGGATGATCAACCAAGTTGTCAATACGTGTACTAGCAGTCCCAAGGGCGTTAAACGAGTGGGTACCCAGTATAAGCTTGATAGATATATTGCTGCCTTCGGTTTGGCGCATGGTAAAAATCTCAAAATCATTTTGGCCTACAGACGGTACAGATGTCGTTAGCCTTGTTAAACCAGTAGAGCTACGTTGTTCAGAGTGGCTGTCAATGTCAGGGTCACGACCATATACTTCCAAAGCTAAAATAAGGAGACCACGATTGTTTTCAGAATCAATTATAACTGATCCGATGAGTGCTCTTGCTGTAATAAACCGTTGGCTTGGCTTGATGTCTTGGTTGAGTAGTTCGATCATGTCCTTGGCCAATTCAGTGTAGTGGCGTTTGCTTAAGTATTGGGAATAGGCTCCGAATTTACCGATGCTGTTGACAGTATTACAAGTTCGAAAAATGGTTTTGGGAGATACATCTTGAATTGGACGCCTTACAGTGAGTGGTGTTGGTTTTGAAAGCATGGTCTGGAACTGTTCTATATGGCTTGAGGATAAATTGACGTCTAACTCATTACCATCTTCATCGTTGACTGCGACAGGTACAACATCGTAAAAATCAGCAAACATTAGTGCCCGTTTTTTGGAATTACTTGTTCGGTTTGTTTCTCCGATGGCAAACAAAAAGGCTTGGTCGTATGTACGTTGGGATTTGTTATGGTCTAAAATATGATAATTAAGAACGATACAACTTTCGGATTAAAAAAGCAAAACTTACCCATGTCAATTTGTTAAAAAAAGATGGATAAAAGCAGAAGAGAGCAGACAAAATAGCGAGGCATTAAATAGGGCGGGGCGAGAGGATAGGCGTCTTTGTTTTTTTAACGTAATATGAGAAAAAAATTTTGCGCAGCAGACGGTACAGTGCTTTCACGGTCCGCATTCCGGATGATCAACCAAGTTGTCAATACGTGTACTAGCAGCCCCAAGGGCGTTGAAAGAGTGGGTACCAAGTGTAAGCTTGATGGAAACATTACTTCCTTCGATTTGGCGCATGGAACATATTACAGAATCATTATGACCTAAAGACGGGACAGATGTGGATTGGGGAGTGGAACCAGTGGAGCTACGTTGTTTTGCGTGGCTATCGATATCATGAACATGATCATAAACTTCCAATGCCAAAATAAGAGGTAGCCACGTTGAGTTTTGTTATTGTCTAAAATATAATAATTAAGAACGAAACGACAATCGAAGTAAAAAAAAGCAAAAATTACCCATGTCAACTTATAAAAATCACGTCAAGACGTTGGACTAGTGTCGGTCTAATAAAACTAGCCTGCCGTCTTAAAAAATACCAGAATCCTGTTAAGAAAACTAAGTTTTAGAGGGAAATGTCTAGGTCTCTGTATGTTTATATATATATATATACACCACTTACATCGATTCTGGTCCAGAAAAGCAGGCCAATAAGACCAATACTATTCGATGTGAAAACACTGTAATTCACAGTAAAAACACCGTAATTCACATCCCGTGAGTTCCAGAAAAACTCAAGCGCCCTACTAAGGAGTTCGCCCACCTATGGCAAAGACTAGCCGCAGCTGCAATTTTTCAATATTTCTTTTTTGATTTAGCGTCTTTTGAAAGAAACAAGAGCGATTACTTACTAACCTTTGTACGTTATCAATAACTTTCATAAACGATAGAATACATGTGTTAAGTGGAAAAAAAGAAAAGAATAAAGTGTGGGAACCAGCTTTGTTTGTAGGCTGATAAACAAGAGCTTATGTCAGAGTGATTTAATTGCTTGTTTCATCTTTCATAATGTCTGGGCCTTTACTTAAAATAGAAATACTTGCAAAAACTCCCCAAGCGATTCTGGGAGTCATCCACTGTCTCTAAAAAGTTCAAGTACCCATATAATAACATGATTAGCATTCATTTCCATGTTAAATTCTGATAGCAAGTTTTCGACGTTGGTTTTTCCTAGACGAGTATTTTCACCATCCTTCATAACTGACGTAGCTAACATAGCTAACAACCTTGATGATAGTACCCCGGAATGGATAGATGTCGTGCTCTTGCCATATATAAATACAGTCATGGGTTACTGTAAGTAACCATGAAATAATGCGGATCGCGAAGCAGAATACGTGTCAAGTTTATGGAAGCGAGTTCTTAGCTGGCGAAGTTACATGAGCCGGGAATGCGTGTAAATAGACTGCAAATTAGTCTTTTTTTCAAGTGCCAGAGAGTCGAACCATGATTCGGAGTCGATATAACTTGTACTTCAAATGGGATTGAGGCGACACACCGAAATTGACAGTATTGGGCCCGCATTCAGGCTGATCTACCAAGTTGTCGATCCGTGTACTAGCAGTGACAAGGGCGTTGAACGAGTGGGTACCCAGTATAAGCTTGATGGAAATATTGCTGCCTTCGGTTTGGCGCATGGTGAAAATTTCAAAATCATTCTGGCCTACAGACGGTACGGATGTCGATTGGAAAGTGGAACCAGTGGAGCTGCGTTTTTCTGCGTGGCTTTCAATGTCAGGGTCATGGCCATATACTTCTCAATTATTACTGATCCGATTAGTGCTCTTGCTGTGATGAAACGTTGGCTTGGCTTGATGTCATGGTTGAGTAGTTCGATCATTTCCTTAGTCAATTCAGTGCAGTGGCGTTTGGTTAAGTATCGGGAATATGCTCCAAATTCACCAATGCTGTTGACTGTATCGCGAGTTGGAAACATTGTTTGAGGAGATACCTCTTGAACAGCACGACTTACAGTGAGTGGTGTTGGTTTCTCCTATTGCTTACCAGAAGGCCTAATTGTATGTATGTTGAGATGGCTTGTGGTCTAAAATCTAGTGATTAAGAACGATACAACATTCAAAGTAAAAAAACAAAACTTACCCATGTCAATTTCTTAAAAAAAGATGGATAAGAGAAGAAGAGAGCAGACAAAATAGCGAGGCATTAAATAGGGAGGGGGCGAGGGGACAGGCGTCTTTGTTTTTTTACGTAATATGAGAAAAAAAAACTTTGCGCAGCAGACGGTACAGTGCTTTCACGGTCCGCATTCCGGATGATCAACCAAGTTGTCAATACGTGTACTAGCAATCACAAGGGCGTTGAAAGAGTGGGTACCCAGTATAAGCTTGATAGATATATTGCTGCCTTCGGTTTGGCGCATGGTAAAAATCTCAAAATCATTCTGGCCTACAGACGGTACAGATGTCGTTTGCCTTGTTGAACCAGTAGAGCTACGTTGTTCAGCGTGGCTATCGATGTCAGGGTCACGACCATATACTCCGAATATCAAAATAAGGAGACCGTAATTATTTTCAGTATCGATGATTACAGACCCGATTAGCACTTTTGTCGCAGTAAAATGTTGGCTTGGCTTGATTTCCCAGTTTTGGTTGAGTAGTTCGATCATATCCTTGGTATTGGCGTTTACTTAAATATGGTGAATAGCTCCGATTTCATCGATGCTGTTGACAGTATCACAAGTCCGAAACGTGGTTTGGGAGATAAATATTGAGTTGGATGCCTTAGAGTGGGTGGTGTTGGTTTTGAAAGCATGGTCTGGAACTGTTCTATATGGCTTGAGGATAAATTGACGTCTAACTCATTACCATCTTCATCGTTGACTGCGACAGGTACAACATCGTAAAAATCAGCAAACATTAGTGCCCGTTTTTTGGAATTACTTGTTCGGTTTGTTTCTCCGATGGCAAACAAAAAGGCTTGGTCGTATGTACGTTGGGATTTGTTATGGTCTAAAATATGATAATTAAGAACGATACAACTTTCGGATTAAAAAAGCAAAACTTACCCATGTCAATTTGTTAAAAAAAAGATGGATAAAAGCAGAAGAGAGCAGACAAAATAGCGAGGCATTAAATAGGGCGTGGGTGAGGAGCAGGCGTCTTTGTTTTTTACGTAATATGAGAAAAAAAAACTTTGCGCAGCAGACGGTACAGTGCTTTCACGGTCCGCATTCCGGATGATCAACCAATTTGTCAATACGTGTATTAGCAGCCCCAAGGGCGTTGAAAGAGTGGGTACCAAGTGTAAGCTTGATGGAAACATTACTTCCTTCGATTTGGCGCATGGAACATATTACAGAATCATTATGACCTAAAGACGGGACAGATGTGGATTGGGGAGTGGAACCAGTGGAGCTACGTTGTTTTGCGTGGCTATCGATATCATGAACATGATCATAAACTTCCAATGCCAAAATAAGAGGTAGCCACGTTGAGTTTTGTTATTGTCTAAAATATAATAATTAAGAACGAAACGACAATCGAAGTAAAAAAAAGCAAAAATTACCCATGTCAACTTATAAAAATCACGTCAAGACGTTGGACTAGTGTCGGTCTAATAAAACTAGCCTGCCGTCTTAAAAAATACCAGAATCCTGTTAAGAAAACTAAGTTTTAGAGGGAAATGTCTAGGTCTCTGTATGTTTATATATATATATATACACCACTTACATCGATTCTGGTCCAGAAAAGCAGGCCAATAAGACCAATACTATTCGATGTGAAAACACTGTAATTCACAGTAAAAACACCGTAATTCACATCCCGTGAGTTCCAGAAAAACTCAAGCGCCCTACTAAGGAGTTCGCCCACCTATGGCAAAGACTAGCCGCAGCTGCAATTTTTCAATATTTCTTTTTTGATTTAGCGTCTTTTGAAAGAAACAAGAGTGATTACTTACTTACCTTTGTACGCTATCAATAACTTTTATAAACGATAGAATACATGTGTTAAGTGGAAAAAAAAGAAAAGAATAAAGTGTGGGAACCGGCTTTGTTTGTAGGCTGATAAACAAGAGCTTATGTCAGAGTGATTTAATTGCTTGTTTCATCTTTCATAATGTCTGGGCCTTTACTTAAAATAGAAATACTTGCAAAAACTCCCCAAGCGATTCTGGAAGTCATCCACTGTCTCCAAAAAGTTCAAGTACCCGTTGAATGACACGCTTAGCCTTCGTTTCCTTATTAAATTCTGTAAGCAAGTTTTCGACATTGACTTTTCCAAGATGAGCATTCTGACCATCCCTCATAACAGACGTAGCTAACATAGTTAAGAACCTTGATGATAGTGACCCTGAATTGATGGATGTTGTATTCTTGCCATATGCAAATACAGTCATGGGTTGCTGTAAATAACCATGAAATAATGCGGATCGCGAAGCAGAATACGTGTCAAGTTTATGGAAGCGAGTTCTGAGCTGGCGAAGTTGCATGAGCCTGGAATGAGTATAAATGGACTGCTTTCATAAGCTTGATGGTAGGCTTGAGGCCGTTTTGACCATGGTCTATTGACTGCAAGTCAGTCTTTTTGTCAAGCGCTAAAAAATCAGACCATGATTCGGAATCAAGATACAAATTATATTTCAACTGGGAGTTAGGAGACACACCCAAATGGACAGTATTGGGTCCGCATTCCGGCTGATGAACCACGCTGTCAATGCGTGCACTAGCAGTAATTAAGGCGTTGAAAGAGTGGATACCAAATATAAGTTTGATGGAAACATTGCTGCCTTCGGTTTGGCGCATGGTACATATTTCGAAATCATTATGGCCTACAGACGGTACAGGTGTTGATTGGAGAGTGGAACCAGTGGAGCTGCGTTGTTCAGCGTGGCTATCAATGTCAGGGTCACGACCATATACTTCTAAAGCTAAGATTAAGAGACCACGATGGTTTTCAGTATCAATTATTACTGATCCGATTAATGCTGTTGCTGAAATAAACCGTTGGCTTGGATTGATCTCCCAGTCTTGGTTAAGCAGTTCGATTATGTCCTTGGTCAAATCGATGTAATAACGTTTGCTTAAATATGAGGAATATGCTCCAAATTCACCTATGCTGTTGACAGTATCAGAAATTCTAGACATGGTTTGGGGAGATGCCTCTTGAACTGGATGCCTTACTGTGAGTTGTGTAGGTTTTGCTACGATATGGCTGGGTGGAAAATCACGTCTACCTCATTACCATCTTCATCGATGACTGCAACAGGTTCAACATTGTAAAAATCAGTGAACATCAGTGCGAGTTTTTTTGGATGACCGTTTCTGTGGGTTTCTCCCATGTCATATGAAAAGGCTTGGTCATAGGTATGTTGAGATGGGTTATGGTCTAAAATCTAATTATTAAGAACGATACAACATTCAAAGTAAAAAAGCAAAACTTACCCATGTCAATTTCTTAAAAAAAGAGGTATAAATAAAAGAAGAAGAGAGCAATCAAAATAGCGAGGCATTAAATAGGGCGTGGGTGAGGAGCAGGCGTCTTTGTTTTTTTATGTAATATGAGAAAAAAAAACTTGCGCAGCAGACGTTACACTGCTTTCACGTCCGCATTCCGGATGATCAACCAAGTTGTCAATACGTGTACTAGCAATCACAAGGGCGTTGAAAGAGTGGGTACCAAGTATAAGTTTAATTGAAATGTTGCTCCCTTCGGTTTGGCGCACAGTACATATCTCGAAATCATTATGGCCTACAGACGGTACAGATGTCGTTAGCCTTGTTAAACCAGTTGAGCTACGTTGTTCAGCGTGGCAATCGATGTCAGGGTCACGACCATATACTTCCAATGCCAAAATAAGGAGACCGTAATTATTTTCAGTATCGATGATTACAGACCCGCTTAGCGCTTTTGCCGCAGTAAAACGTTGGCTTGGCTTGATTTCACAGTTTTGGTTGAGTAGTTCGATCCTATCTTTGGTCAATTCAGTGTATTGGCGTTTGATTAGATATGGGGAATAGGCTTCGATTTCAACGATGCTGTTGACAGTATCACAAGTCCCAAACGTGATTTTGGGAGATACATCTTGAGTTGGATGCCTTAGAGTGGGTTTTGTAGGTTTTGCAAGCATGGTTTGGAATTGTTTTATGTGACTTGAGGACAAGATTACGTCTAACTCATTACCATCTTCATCGGTTACTTCAACAGGTACAACATCATAAAAATCAGCAAACATCAGTGCGCGTTTCTTGGATTGACCGTTTTTGTTGGTTTCTCCTATTGCATACAAGAAGGCCTAAATGTATGTACGTTGACATGGGTTACTGTCTAAAATGTAATAATTAAGAACGATACAACATTCGAAGTAAAAAAAGCAAAACTTACCCATGATAATTTTTCAAAAAAAGATGTATAAAAGAAGAAGAGAGCGAGGCATTAAGTATGGCGGGGGCGAGGAATGGGAGTCTTTTTTTTTTTTTTTTTTTTTTTTTTTTCTTTGGGGAATAATAATAATAATAATAATAAATAAAAAAAAAAAAACTTGCGCAGCAGACGGCACAGTGCTTTCACGGTCCGCATTCCGGCTGATCAACCAAGTTGTCGATTCGTGTACTAGCAGTAATCAGGGCGTCGAAACAGTGGTACCAAGTATATGTTTAATTGAAATGTTGCTCCCTTCGGTTCGGCGCACAGTACATATCTCGAAATCATTATGGCTTACAGACGGTACAGATGTCGTTTGCCGTGTTGAACCAGTAGAGCTGCTTAGTTCAGCGAGGCTATTAATATCAGGGTCACGACCATATACCTCTAAAGCTAAAATTAGGAGACGACAATGGTTTTCGGTATCGATGATTACCGATCCTATTAATGCTCTTGCTACGATGAACCGTTGGCTTGGCTTGATCTCCCAGTCTTGATTGGTCAGTTCGATCATATTATTGGTTAATCCAGTGTAGTGGCGTTTGCTTATATATGGGGAATATGCTCCAAATTCACCGATGCTATTGATTATATCGCAAGCTCGAAACATAGTTTGGGGTGATTCCTCTTGAACTGGACGCGTTACAGTGAGTGGTGTTGGCTTTCTATATGACTTGGGGATAAAATTAGGTCTAACTTTTCATCTTCTTCATCAGCGATCGCGACAGGTAAAACACCATAAAAATCAGCAAACATCAATACGCGTTTTTTGGAATGACCACTTTAGTTCGTTTCTCCCATGGTGTATAATAAGGCTTGGTAGTATGTACGTTAATTTTATGTTATTGTCTAAAATATAATAATTAAGAACGAAACAACTTTCGGATTAAAGAAGCAAAACTTACCCATGCTGATTTCTGAAAAAAAGATGTATAAAAGAAGAAGAGTGAAAACAAAATAGCGAGGCATTAAATAGGGTGTGGGCGCCTTTTTTTTTTTTTTTTTTTTCAAAAATAAAACTTGCAAATGTTTCTATTTTAAGTAAAGGCCCAAACACTTTGGTCAACTGATAAGCAAGACATCATATGAGAATGATGCAATTATTTGTTCACCCACACTTTTTTTATTATTAATAACCTTATAATAGGGCTTGTTCACACACTTTGTTTTTCCTTTTTCCTTTAAACATTTTCTTTTTTCTATTTCAGATGTAAGTAATTGATATAAAAAAGATTGGTTTATAATGATTTTTGTTCTTTTTTAAGAGACACTAAGATTATTTGTTCTTTTTCTTTTTTAAAAAAATCAGATACATTGTGATATTACGGCTATGGCCAAACGTTACTATAGGATGGTAACCCCCTAGGCTGGGTTCTAGGGTTCTACCCTCTCGTTGGATTGGAAAATTGTAAATGAATGTGATCAGACTGTAAATGACTGCAGCTACATTATACATGTCTTTCTATAAGGTAATTTTATACTAAAATAGAGGAAGAAGGCCCACTAATCATTGATTTAGACTAAGGGATGTACCTGGTGTTCGGAACGAACATCGAAGCTCCCTCGGATGACTTTTTTTGTCGGGTTTTCCTTAAGCTCGTGTGGTGTTTGACTTTTCCAAGCATTTTTTTTTTTTTTTTTTTTTGGAAAAGTCAAACACACCCAAGTAAGCTTATCCTATTTGTTTTTTCTTGTCTCATATGCTGACGTTACCCTATTTTTTTCAAGGGCTGTTTCTTAAGATGTAAAGATTGCAAGGTCACAATAATTGCTAAATCTCCACAATTCTAACTAGCTGGCCCAAGAGGGCAGAAATGGTCTCTGTTTAGGTTGTTATAGGCAAGTTTCAAAGACTAAAAAAGAAAAAGAAGGTCCACTAATCATTGATTTTAGACTTAAGGAAGATGTTCGACAAAGATGATGATCGAGCACACTTTTACTCATGACAGTGAACGGGAAAAATCCCACAGCACGATCGACCTCCAGCTATCACTTATGACATGATCGTAGAAAAGATGAAAATACATGGAGAATCGATTGAAGCGCGCTAACTGTAATGGCCAAAGTTTGGACTACAACTGCGGAATTGACAGCCCTTTGTTATAAAAATAGGTTTAGATATGTCATCAAAAACTGTGAAATTGTCTTCCCTGGACCTAAGGACCAAAAATCCCCTTTTTGGTCCGTATCAGTACATAGATCATCGTGTCCAATTACAATACAGCAAAAATAATCCACTGAGGGTCTTCAAATGATGTCCTCGGTGATGACCTCAATCAAGGGCGATCTGAATGATCAAGACACATTCAGATAGTTTAAAGCTTTTTACGATACTCACTGTAAAAATTAAATAAACCATTCCATTGCTTAGTTTTTTTTTAACTAATATCACTATCACTTGAATCTTTGTGTCACGGCAAATCCTCTTCTCTTTCCCCTATCTATCATTTGTAAGCAGATACCATTGTCTTCACATGCTATGATTACTATTTACTGTAACGTGTTTACTCCTATTAAACCGAACATAATTAAAATTCAGCTTACAGCATGTTCTATGTTATAATGAGGATTTTAATCTCTAATAAAATCACACCATTATGCCACAACATTCACTTGGTGTGATTATACCTTAAACTTGATCGAATTAGTTGTGTAGCTGTGGGATCTCACAATACATAGGCTTTGATCAGGAATTCTAATCCTTAAGGGACTATATGCTGTTACATATATATGAAGGTTCCAAACATAAAATGAAAAGTATACACTCTATTTTACGTTATCTGATTTGTATTTCGACTCATGGTATTACCATCTTGAGGCAAACCTTAATCAGAATTTATCATTCGTATATAACAGAACCTCTTGATTTTATTTATGAAAGACTCTCTAATTTATAACAAAGGAATAAAGAGTCTTGATTCTTATTCCGTCCCAAACACATTTACACCTATCCCGCTTTATGCGCAATTATGGTAGACACCACTTGTCCTAATAGCCTTCTACATCCTTGCCTGAGCCGACATTTAATTTGTCTGAAAGCCGTTAAAGTCTACCCGAAAAAAAAAAAAACTCATCAATCGTATACATAATAGAAAAGTAAGACATGAAAAACAAAAATACAATTATTTTTATTGTTGTGTTTCGTCATTTTCCTGCTGTAATCTGCGAAGTAGTTCCTCTGCGGAAATGGCCGGCATTTGATCTGAAGTAGTGTCTAAAGAAGACGCGCTATCTCTTCGACTGATGATAACAGAAAGAGGAGCAGCTCTCCTTCTCTCGACAATGGGTTTTATTTTTTCCTCTTCTTGTTTTAGTCTATCTTCCTCATGCTTGATCCTTCTCAGCCTCTCACGAACTCTTCGTTGTCTCATCTTGTTCTCTCCTTTACCGGACCTCAACTCCTCCATTAAATTATCCATGATACGTCGGTCGTTATTCTCACTGGTCTGGCTATCACTATCCGATATTTCTCCTACAGATGTCACTGCAGAAACCGCTCTTCTCTTCTCTTCCGATTCCAGTTTTCGACGTTCTTCACGCTCAATACCTTCCGAATACCTTTGTTCCTCCACTGCGGCAATTTTCCAACTCTTGATAAACCTTGCAAAAATCTGAAAGAATTCATCGGGTTTCATGGATTTTGGATTCTCGCCGTAATACTGCATAATATCCTTCCATTTAAAATCTACATTCACATAGAGCGCTTCAAGTTCTTCAAATCGTTCATTGGCAGATTGGCAAAATTCTTGCATCACTTGCATAAATCGATCATGATGGACTGGGGTATCATGTTGCTTGTCGAATTCTTGGTTAGATTTGGTCGATTGAGTGCTCGATACATCGTCCAGCTCCTTGGGTGATTCCACTTTGACTGTATCATCAAGTATACTTTCGGGTGTCTCATCTCTTTCAAAACCATCCTCTGCGTCTTGTTGGATACTCGTGTCCTTTGTATTTTCGCTCGTATTCTGACTATTTGAGTAGATGCTTCGAATATCTAGATCTTCCTGTTCATATTCACTGATACTTTGAGAACTGCTACTACAACTATGGTCTCTACTTGTGTTGGATATGGAGCTACTCTTCACACTTTGCGATTCCTCTTCATCCAGCTCAGAAATCTTGTTAAGGTCCTTCTTTTCCACTATAGCTGTTTCTCGTACTTCTTCAGGGTTCGGCCAATAGAGTTCCAACTCTAATTTAAGTTGTTTAAGACCTTGGCGCATTTCTGTGTACTGCTGGACAATATCCGTGATGCTAACCATGACTATTTAGATATATTATGAGTTACAGATTCTAAAAAATGAGTAAATCTGATTTTTTTTTCTTTTTTTTTTTACCGTGAGCGGCTTGGTTGACATCTTTTAAATCATCTAAAAAGACCAAGATCCAAGGAAAATGTCTTCTTACGATGTTGACCAGACAATGGAGCAAGGTCATTTGTGATTCGTTAGAGGCCTTTGTATCGGTCAATTTATTGATACTGTCAATTTTCATACCAAAGGCACCCCCTTGTTGTCCCGTACTGTTCATGTAATTACCCAAGACAAGGATTAGCTGAAGTAGTTGTTTGAGGGCTTTTGAGTGACGTAAAGCATTGGTCGCTTCTAACACCACGCTTAGACTCTTTCTTAATTGCTCAAATTTCTCCCAGTATTGTAAACGGAATAGCATGAATTTTATGCGCGTTTCATACCTATATATTCTCATCATCTTAAATTTTTAACATATGGTTAGTGTACCTTGATAGGTTTATTAAAGTATTGTATTTTGTTTTACCTCGGTGGTGAAATATTCAGGTGGGTCAAGCTTTTGACATTCTTGTTCGGGACCGTTCAAGAAGGACTTCATAACACCAAGATCATCATCACGGTTGGGACAATAAGTGATTAAATTAATCAAGAAAGTCTCTGTACATAGTTTATCATCCATGGCCAGTATATGATCCTTCACTTCCCTGTACGAGCTAAACTGTTTAATTTTTGGAAAGATCACAATATCTATTTATGAAAGGGATTGAGTTTTTTTTTTTTTTTTTTTTCTTACACACATAGAGTGTCATCACTTACTTATGTTTCGGTTCTTATCCTTGGATAAAAACTTGATTGTTTCGCTTTGTACCACCGACTTTTGACCAGCCATCTGTGCAGCCAATCTTCTTTCCAAAAACGTATTGACTTTAGCAGGAAATAACGTCTCGATTTTATCAAATGCGCCTTCTTCTTTCAAGGCTTCTTGCATCAAGCCATCATCTTCATCCATGTTCCAGATCGTGTTTTTGGCTGCACCAGCATCCAATTTTTTCCATTGAAAGTTTTTTAGTTTGACTTGTGGATAGTGTTGGATTTCCTTGCGTAATGGGTATAGAGCTCCGGGTGGCGCGGGTATATTGACAGCTGGTGCAGGGGGGATTCCTACATTAATTTTTTTTTTGATGAGTTTATGCAGAACTGGAAATAAGAGGGGAGGTTTATCTTTATTGTACCTTCAATAGTCGTAGGTGGCATACAACCTAATTAAAAAGAAGAAGAAGAAGAAAAAAAAAATTAATGAAAAAAGAGTTCGGTGAAACATTTTGCTTTTATATGTATATATTTATAATTACCTTGTGGTGGCGGTGGTGGTGGTGGCGGCGGTGGTGGTCCTAAAAGAGAGAGGAGTTTAATATTTTACTTTTCTGAAATTTTGGATGATGGCTTACCTGAAGATGCGTTTGCATTCATATGAGATCCTGTTTAAATATGTAAGTTAAAAGTAACAAAATAATCATGGACACAATATTTACCGGGTATTGGTGGTGGTGGTGGAGGTGGTGGTGGAGGGGGCGGAGGTGGAGGTGGAGGTGAAGCCATAGATACAGTTGGACTGAAAGATATAGATGTCGATCGACGAGGCTGACTGCTTTCACTATAAGTTGAAGACGAAGAATCCATTTGCTTGCTCACTATAGAAATCATATTTTTAAATACACAAATAAAGATATTAAGGCTATAGACTTACATGTACCACTACTCGAAGAAGTACTTCTCATGTGTCTCTTCTTTCGACTCTTTTTTCCAAAGAAAGGGAAATGAAAGCTTCCAAATCCAAAAGAATTTGTACAGTTGACTCGCTCAGTATCGGCTGAAGCCCATGGGGGTGTAGTTTTTGAAGGCAATCGCAGCTCATCCATCGACATACCCGCCCTTCGTTGTGACACTTTCCAATCATCTTTCAAAACCAAGATCTCACTTCTTCTTCTCTCTTTGACCTGACCTTCTGCTTCCGCTAATCGTTCTTGCAACATGGCGATGGTATCCTTTGAGGTTTTCAACACATCACGTAATGAATCATTTTCGTTCTTGAGATTCAGATTGCGTTGATGTTGGGATTCGATTTCGATTTGTGTAGGTAGGATACGTAATTTTTGAACTTCGGCTTCTAGACAGTTTTTTTCTGCTAATAATGTGTCGTATCGATCTCGCAAGTCCTTAAACTCACGTTCGATACTTCTTAGTCTATCCACATCATGAAAGTTTTGAAAGACGGTAGAAACAGCCATACCAAAGGTAGAACTGAAGTCTTCTGATTTGGCATGTGGACGACGATCCATCACGATTTGTTGAACAATGATATTAATCATGTGGTAATACTGGGCTTTTGTTTCTGCATCTCCCTTAATCCACAAAAAATGCTTTAATATCGATATAAATTCCTCTTTACCACGTTCTGAATCCCCAATGTTTTCAAGTGCACGGTTGACTAATTCTGTAGGCGGAGCAGAGTAATCCATAAGCATATCGTCACCAAAGGCATCGTCCATGTCATTCTCCGCTGCTTGCTTGAATGAGTTAATTTGGATATTTAACAAATTGAAATCCAGTTCCTCTAATTTGGGTAAGATCGTTGATTGTAATCCAGCAGCATTGAATTGGTTTCTCATATAAATACGGTAATTGACGTCGGGGGGTATTTTTGTTAGTGCATTGACCAAGATCATGTTGGACAAGGCATAATCCATTAAATTACTCTCTGGTAATTTCTGTGCGCCCATCACCGTCCCTAAAAACTCTCGCATCCATGTATCAAACAAGGCCAAGGATTTTTTGAATATCTTTAGCTGTTCAAAGCCCATCACCACGTGTTCGTATCCATCGAGGTAACATAAAAATGCTAATAATTCGCACACCATTTTACGTGTTTGCCAATGGGGACAATGGATGGAGAAAACCACAGTGTGTATGTACTCGGGGTGATCCATAGCTTCTCTTCCTCCCACTTTTGTATTTACAATGGCTTTGATACATTTCACAATTTCCACTTCGAGTTCTATCGCGGTGTCTCTGCGGTTGATGTTGTGGTTAAGGTAATCGAGTGCGTGCGACAATACGTGAAATCCTTTTAGGCGTATGAAATTGACAACCCAGCTAAAAATCATCATATATATTCGGGAGTTTAAATAAAACAAAAAAATGACATTTTTTTTGGCATGACTTTTTTTTTATAACTTACTCTATTGATCTTGTTCGTAAACTCACCTCGAGACTAGCGGCTATTTTAGGCGTGACGGATCGTAAATTGGGATCTAAGAACTTGCGTACGAAATATTCGGGTGAATTGAGATCCTCGTGTTCTTTCTTGTTGGGAGAAGCCAAACTAGCGATACTACGAGATTTTCTGATGAATTTGGTGGGTTGTTTATGTATGGATGAGGATGAATTTAATGGATGAATGGGTGTAGAAGTGGATTTTTCTAGTAAAGGACCGTTTCCAGTCGGTAACCGATCGACTTCCATACTCGTTCTTTTATGAGCCGCATATTCTAATTGGTTTTGCGGTACACCCGATGCTAATAATTCGGCTTGATGATCTTGATGAATCATGAGCCATTTCTTTTCTTTTTCCCAATGCTCCATGCTTTGTTTCACCTTTTCATCGTGGATACCACGTCGTTCCTATAACAAGTGTTAATGGGGACATGAGGCTGCATTTTTTTTTTTTATAAATGTATATAATAACTTGTTTTAGTTTACAAGCATGTTGTCGAATAAAGCATTCACATGTTGATCGGGAGGAATGTGTTGTTCGCGTGCAAACAAGTGTTCGGCCGAGCCTGCTTCAAAAGATGAACTATTGGGTATGATCGATTGTTGACGTAAAGCAGCCGCACCCGTTACTGTGTAACATATGCATTACGTTAAATGATTAATTTTTTTTTTTTTATTTTTTTTTTTTTTTGGCTTTTCTTAACGTTACATGTACGACTCCTTGGCTTGATACTCAGTATTCGTCTGACTGAATAACGACGTTCTGGTGCTTTTGCTGGTGGGATCGTTCCATTAGGACGAACGTATTTTTTCTTTCCAAAACGATCCAATATACCGTCCATTTGATAATTATATTTGTATAAAAAAAAAAGAAAAAGAAAAGAGAGATAAAAAAAAAAAAAAGGTAAGACAAAAAAAAAAAGGGTAAAAAATAAAAGCACCTAGAGTTGCCAGCCAATAAAAAGAGTCGGAGTATTGCAGTTAAGAAACAATGATCCCAACATCACATTGTTATTTTAAACACTCCTTTAAAAACGCCATTAAAAAAGTCGTCAATTGAACGATCCCCTCATTAAATATAATGTTTACTAATAATACGACAAAAATTTATAAGTGACTTTCATATACACGGGGTGTGATCCATTTGTCGGTTTCATTCATGACGAGAGCCGCTTCTAACACATCCCATATGTTCTTGGCATAAACAAATTGAATATCCTCCTTGACCTTCTCAGGAACATCTTGTTCAACATCTTTACGGTTACGATAGGGCAAAATAATTTTACGAATACCAGCACGGTGAGCAGACACCACTTTTTCTTTAATTCCTCCTACAGGTAAAACTTGTCCCCGTAACGAGATCTCACCTGTCATGGCCGTCGTGGGTGGTACATGGTAACCCGAATAAAGTGATACAATGGCTGATACCAGCGTAACACCTATTTTTTTTTTTACATGTATAAATTAAACAAACAGAGCGAGTCACTTTTTGTTTGTTTTGTTTTTCACTTACCAGCGGAAGGTCCATCTTTACTAATTGAACCAGCAGGGAAATGAATATGAATATCATCATGCTCAATCATTTTCCCTGTGGGACTCGTTGTTAATTGAAGTGCAAACGCATGAGACTTGACCCAAGACAAGGCTAATTTGGCAGACTCTTGAATCACGTTACCAAGGGAGCCGGTTAACTCGAGATTACCATCACCAGGCATCTTGGTGGCTTCTACAAACAAAATACCACCGTTACCACTACCAGAGTAAGCCAAACCCGTGACAACACCCGGAACTGGATCTCTTTCTGCAATCTCCTTTTCATAATAAGCCATCTATCCATATCCATTTAAATTAGTTTTTTTTTTTCTTCTTTCCACGTTACTCATACTTACACCAAGGATCTCTTCAATGGCTTCTAAAGAAACATTGGGGTCGTATTCTTCTTCCTTGTCTTGTTCACGTAAATCGGCTAATTGAACACATTTCGCACGTACCACGGATGCAATAGTTCTTTCCAAGCTACGTACGCCACTTTCTCGGGTATAATTCTCTGCTACTTTCAAAAAGACTTCGTCCTTCATACATACCTGTCCCTTTACAAGGCCATGAGCCAACAGCTGCTTTGGCAGTAAATGTGCTTTAGCAATGTATAATTTTTCCTCGAAAGTGTAACCGTTCAGACTGATAAGTTCCATACGATCCAACAAAGGCTCTGGAATGGTGTCCAAACTATTAGCAGTAGCAATAAAGAGTACATTGGATAAATCAAAGGGCACATTCAGATAATGATCGGAAAAGCTATTGTTTTGTTCCGGATCCAGGACTTCTAAAAGGGCAGCGGATGGATCACCGTAATGCGAGGATTGCACTAGTTTGTCAATCTCGTCCAATAGAAACAGAGGATTGTTGACTTTGCATTTTCTCAAACCCTGAATAATCAATCCCGGCATAGCACCTACATATGTACGACGATGACCTCTTTTTTATGATAACGATTAGTCATGAACAATGTTTTTTTTTTTAAAAAAAAAGGTCTTATAAATTACCGCATTTCTGCTTCGTCTCGGACACCGCCCAATGAAATACGATGAAATTCACGGCCGAGAGAACTAGCGATGGATTTACCCAAGGAAGTCTTTCCCACGCCCGGCTATTAATTGACAAATTATGTAAGTACTATGTAAAAGTTATGGTGTAGAAACTTACAGGACCAACAAAGCAAATGATGGGAGCTTTTAAATCTCCTTTGATCTTGATGACGGATAAATATTCAATAATACGCTTCTTCACATGATCCAATCCAAAATGATCGTCTTCCAATTTCTGTTTGGCTTGTGCGATATCCAATACATCGTCTGTTTTTTTGCTCCATGGTAAATCTGCCAACAGTTCCAAATAGTTGCGAGCAACGGCATATTCACTGGAGGCAGGTTGTAACTTTTTGAGCCGTTTCAGTTCGCGTTGAGCCACAGTGGAAGCCTCCTCGGGTAATTCAGCTTCTTCGATTTTAGCTCCTAGCTGGTCAAGTTCGTCTTCTTCCTTGGCTCCACTACCACCCTCTGTTTCTCCAAGCTCTTTTTTAATCGCCTCCAACTACGCAATTATTAGCCACACTGCACAAAAAAAAAAAAAAAAAAAAATTACACCCGCGCACTTTTCTCTATTGTACCTGTTGACGGAGATAGAACTCGCGTTGTTTCTTGGTTAATTTTCCTTCAACACTTGAATGCACTTGCTCAGATATTTTCAACACCTTTTTAAATAGAGAAAATGAATAAAATACTAACGGGGAATCCTGAGGTTGTTCATTGTACTTACATGAAGTTGACGTGTCATCCATTCTGATGCCTTTTCCACTCGTTCCTTTAAACTGATGGTAGCCAACATGGTTAATTTCTCATCAAACGACGTCTCGATCACAGACACTAACAGATCTGCCAAGACAGGAGGCGACACAGAATCAATCAATTTGGTCAATTGTCCAATCAAATTCTCTGGCATATTCAAATCCTTCATTTTGGCCAAAAATTCACGTACAAGAGCTTTAAATCGAATCATTTCATCGCTCGTTTCATTCTCGTCTAGTTCTTCATCGAAATACTTGACCTTGACATGCAAGGCATTCTCATGCGTAAAATAGTCATCTACCATAAATCGAGAAATACCTTCCACAAACATCGTAAAAGCGCCTAGACCCGATCGCTGCACTCTAACAATGCGGGCTGTACAGCCATAGGCAAATAATCGGTCTTTATCTTCGGCCTTGATAAATCCTTCGTCTTTTAATGCAACCGCATCTTCTTCTACTACAGCGGTACTTTCACCGGTAAGAGGGATACAAGCAATATAGGTGGGTTTACGTTGTTCACTGAACCGTAAATGCTTACGAGTTAATGCAACAGCATCTCTACCTCTCATGTTGATCTTTAACACCACAGAAGGTAATAACACCTTGTTTTCAAGTGGTACCACGATTAAACTGTCTGTCAATGTTGGCATGTTTTCTTTTTTTGAGTGAGTGAGAGATGGAAGGAAAAAAGAAAAAGAAAGAGAGAGAGAAAAAAAAAAAAAAAGAGTTATTTTCTATCTAATTCTCCCTCACTCACTTTCATGTGATATGCCGAGTGAGTGAGTGAAAAAAAAAGAAAAGGCATACCGCACAAGTCTTTTTTTTTTAAAACGCAGATCCAATCATGACAAATGAAAATGTCGAAATCGCTTGTGTGTTTGCATATTTGTATGGAACCACCCCCTTGATGTTGTCATTTTTTTCTTTCCTGAAAAAAAAAAAAGTAACGCTTAAATTAACTTCTATTTATTTATTCATAGTTCGAAGAATGACGACTGATTTCCGTATCTTGTCGCACCAACGACCGTTTATCAAAATCAAAATCGGATATGGAGTGTGCTCGACTTCCCATGGTATCGTCCGATATCGAAACTTGCGATTGGCTCCATTGTGGTAACGTTAAACTCTGGTGTTGATTCGTGATACGCTTCACATAAATTGCAGTCCTGTGAAATTATATGCAAGCGTTAAAAAAAAAAAAAAGTCTCTCTTTTTTATATATCTCTTATATCACTTACAGCTTCTTTTCCACGTATAAAGATAGCGCCTTGCGTCGCATTTTATCCCCGAATCGAGAGCGAGGAAAGTTACTTGCATGCACAATCACAACCGTATCAATCAAAAACAAGTGATGATCAAGAACTGTATTGACAATCAGTGGAACTATAGGTAACGCATGCTCACTTGCCTTCACCGACACAACAGCCACCAGCTCATCCTTAAATTGAAACACGATACTACAAAACCCAATAAAAAAAAAAAGTCAGTTCTTATTTTTTTTTATATATATATATATGCTTAATACACTCAAAAATACTTACGTGCCATTAGGCGGAATAGCAGGATGACAGCGTTCCATGGATAGTTCAACATCCACGGGGAAATGCATCAACCCATTACGTACCATGGTCTCACTGACGGGCCCCAACACATACAAACATTGTCCTTCTTCTAACATGGGCGGCATCCTGTTATCCACCACTCTTCTTCTCACACTCCACATGAAACCAAAATCACCAGTGCGCATGTACTTGACATTAGGATCGTGGCCCACAATGGATGCCTCAAAACGTTGTGCATGACTGCCCTCATCTAACCCATGATACGTCTTGGCATTGCTATCTGAACATACCCAGATCTCACCCACTGCATTACTTGGGCAGATCATGTGGGTCTCTGGGTTGACAATAGCGACCATGGTATTACTAGGCACGATACCTGAATCATGCAACACGATAGCTCTATACTCTTCTTCGGCACCCAAGGGACGTACAATACCTTGACGTAAATAATAGGGGTCGATCGCTAACGGTAATGGTTCCATCAACATGTAGGACCGCGTGGTGATCATGGGATTGGCAGCATGACTATATACATAATTGATGGCTTCCTTTTCTAATCGTAACCGCATGAAATACCTCGCCATGTGTTGATACAGTAGTGGTTTGGGTCGATTGTCATTGGCCAACATTAAATTTTGCACACCTTTGAGTTGAATATGTCTTGTTTCGTTCAGATTGATCCTGTTCATCGAGAACTGCACCAACGCATTGGTCAAAAACGCATCCTTGGTCTTGTAGGTTTGGAACAGTTCAAAGAAACTAGCAGGGTTCAAGTAGAAATCAGAGGAAGGAATCAAGACCGTGCCACAACCTACATAGACACCACAAAATACGGCATGCAAGAACCCTAAACCGTCATACGTACCCAATCCTGTGGTGACAATACCACGTTGTGATCGCATTTGACAGGTCATCTTTTGTGTTCGACATTGGTTGAGAATGGTATCATGACCCAAGTAAGCATAAAAGCGACGTCCGTCTGAGGAAGGTTGGACCAAAATAACAGCACATACGTTACGTTGAGGTGAAATCCAATCGGGCCTGACCATAAACCCACTTTCTTTACCCAGCGTCTTGTGACTCTTGGGCGCTTTGGAGATATTGACAATTTCTGGAAGTTTGTATTTGGCTGGCATCGCAAGTTTCATGGCAGCTTTCACCGTGTTATGTCGCATCACATCGTCACCTGCTGTATTTGTCAGAATAGCGCTCACACCCAGCTCATGTGCCACTTGCACCATCTGTGCACAAAACTCGTTTATACGCTGTGGTTGATTCTGGGGATCTGCCAATTCGACTGGCACAGGTATAATTCCCATCGATAGACAGGCATAGATACAAAAGACATATTCAATACCAAACGGCATAGCCACCAGCACTTTGCTGTTTCGTTTAAATCCCTTCTTGTGTAGATATCCAGCTATAGCCGCCGATTTATAGCTCACCTTTCTCCAACTGTAGGACTTGGTATTGATGGTGTTCCCCGATTGGGTTGATACGGTATAAGCAGTTTCTTCAGGGTATAAAGTGGTGCGCCATTGCAATACATCCACCATATTCGTAAATCGCGAGAGGTCATAATCCGTGCGTTCATCCAGCACATTGGACACCTTTTCCATGCCTGTATGCTGTGGTTGTGGATGTGGGAAAATAGCGCCAGATCGAACGGCCTTTTCATAACTGGACCTTGATAGCCATAAATCTTCGTTTTGAGGCAGGTTAAATATAGTGCGATCGACATCGATCTTAATCGTTCGGATGGAGAGTTGACCTTGTAAAAAGAAACGTTTGGTGAGGAGAGGATGGACAGTACGTCGACCATGTACCAAATGTCGTGGTAATCCATTGGCTGCTACAAAAAGAATAGCATATGCTCGAAGTCCATGAAACTCAATTAAGGCTTCATCGATTTCCGTAGCGATACGTGCAAGATCAGCTCTAGGTGCTGAGGATTCACATGCAATAATCGGAAGGTGTTGACTCTTTACAAAAATCTCAAACACCGTGCTAAAAAAATAGTAATAATAATAAAGTTTAGCATACTCTTTCCATCTGTCTATTTTCTTCATTTTTTTTTTTTTTTTTTTTTTTTTTTTTTTTTTACCATTGATCAATACGACCTCGCTTGGTCACGGTGTTTAATAAATCCGATGCAAAATAGACATCCTCTTGTCCAAAATCAGCACCGTAGCGTTGTTGCCTAATACGCTCTTCGTAAGGCCCCAGAACAAATAATCGGCCTCCAATTAATGTGCCACATAATCCAGTTCTTAAAAAGTCCTCGCCATATACTTGTGGGTATGGGTTTTCAGAAGAGGGCACGATCAAGGGTCTGGCATGATAAATAGACTCTGTATGTTTCGGTAATGCATAAAATCCACCAGCAATACACGCTGAATCAATCCATACCTCTCCCAACATATTCGGTGTACATAATGTCGCGGTCTCTGGGTTCACAATGGCAACGGTGGTATTCGGCATACAAAATCCAAAGGATTCCACTAGAATCGTACCTGGTTCAGCTATTGATTTGGAAGCCTCTGCCCCAACAGCAAGAACTGTCACTTGATTCAAACGTAAGGATTGTGCATCAAATAAGCATGTAAATACATCGCGAGAACCACCGGGTGCTAGCTCGGATTGCGATGTCACTCTGCTATCTTGAAGGCAGGCCTGAGTAAAAGCGGGGCCCAAATTATCTCGCATACTGATGATCTTTCCACCATGTTCCGGTAGAGAAAGTAAAGGACAGACCACTTCTAAAGGAGCGTCTGTGTTACAAAGAGGTCGAAGTAATTTATCTGCAATGTATTGATTTAGTTCGGTTTGGACTGTATTCGTATCGATTAGAAGGTTGCGTAGCGTCGATAGGTCTGGTGTCACTTTTTTACTGACCGCATTGACTTCTTTGGGTTTCAATTGATAAAAATCAGTAACCAATTTCATTGCTGCATAATCTGCCAAAGCCATCGTTGCTAAAAAAAAAAATATAAGTGTATGTATGTTAAGAGGTCAAGAAAGAAAAAGATATTTTTTGTTTTTTAATTTGCATTACCTTTGTACTTGGAAAGGACATAGATCCAAATGGCAGGTGTGTCTATAATGGATCCACTTGCAAAAATCGTCTTGTTTCCTGCATAAACAGAATGTAAGACAGACAGAATTAAACCAATTTGCTGTCTTGGTTCAAAGTAACTGACGACTGTATGTGAAGGGTGACCTAATGTCTTTGGCTTTACATTGACAATACCGTCATCGACTGTGACGATGGTTTCTGTGGTCGCAGCTTCAAAGGCAGCGCATTGTTCCATGATGGATTCGTGCGTTACTGAGACACCTTTTAATTCACCATTGCTTGCTTTTGCATATTCGATATAAGCAATCTCAGGAACTTTGATGACTGGATAATCGCTATTTTTTTTGGGAAACCAAGTGCCTAATTCGTTGGTCTTCCACCATCGAATGGATGGAGGAAACTCGATGGATTTTGCCTGCATGTCCTTTTGAAAGGCGCGTTGATTATGATCTGTGGTCAAGACAAGATAGATATTGGTCAAGGTCAAGATAAAGGAGAGTTCAGACAGATCTTCTGCAGCGTTAATCGGGACAGCTGTTACACCTGCTAAAAAACAAGCAAAGAAAGCGGGGATAAATTCGAGTACTTCTGATTTACGATAGATTAAAGCAATACGATCTCCATGCTGTATTTTTCCTTTTTCTCTTATCGATTGAGCAATTTTCTCGGCGCGTGCCAGTAGCTTTTCCCAGGAAAGGTTGACAGTTTCTTTACCCCGTGCATCGACCATCGAAAAGGCTTCGTTCAACTTGTCCTTGCCCGTGCCGCGAAAACGTAAGATCTTGGCAAGACTGGAGAAATCGGTCAAGACAGTGGTGCCATCCGTATCCAATAAAGGGAATGGAATATCGCGTCCTTTCAAGGGAGACATTTGTCGTCCTGCTAAATCCGCTATAAACATTTGATTCATTGGATCCAGTTTAGGTTGAGGCGCGGGTTCAATGGCTTTAAAGGTAGTGGCCATGTAACTATCTCGGTAACGACTACGTCCATGTTGGCTTGATTGTGTTCGTCGTATAGGCATATCCAAGCTAGATAGGTTACTACTGGTTGAATTCGAGTGGCGTATTCTACTAGGTGCAGACATGACAGAGGCTTCTCTACCAATGGTAGATCTATTTTCTGCAAAACAAATAATGAAGAGAGTTAGCAATGTCACACCAGTTTAATCTTTTAGGTCCTATTACCCCAATCTGAGTCCATACTCTGTCGAACGCCGAATTGACTACCGGTGCCCGATTCAATCGAGGTAGACCTGGTATGATGAGAGCCATTCATAGAAGGTCGGAATGGATAAGGTCGATAATTAGGTGCGGAAGAAGAAGGAGGTAGTGGTGGTGGTGGTCTGAATCCGTTCATGGGGGGAGGAGGACGCATAGGGTAATTATGCACGGGTCTAGGAGACCCCAAACGAGGATCAAATGGTCGACCATACGGCTGTTGTTGTTGCGGTGGTAGTTGCCGCGAAGGTAGAGGGGGTGGGCGAAACTGTTGTTGCTGCTGTTGTTGCTGCTGCTGCTGCTGTTGTTGTTGTTGCGGTGGTTGCTGCTGTTGTTGCTGTTGTGGCGGTGGTTGCCGAGGTGGTAACGAAGGAGAACGAGCGTGTTGAATATGCTGCTCCATAAGTTGTGAGCCTTTTTTATCACTGGGCGAATGAGTGGGAGAAGGCAAGAAATCCAAAAAATCCACAACATCAGCAGCACTTGGTTCAGGACCCATATCTATTATTTCTGGAGGCACTATTGAAGGTTCTGCTATTATAGGTGCTTTGGCTTTCGCTAATACGTCTTGATAAGGAGCCAAAATTTGACTCTTCTTTTTATCGTAGCCTTTTTGAGTAATATCCCCTTCTTCTAACTCATGTTCAAGTCGTTCGAGCTCATATGCTACATCGAGTGGAAGATCGTCGTACGAAGAGAACTTTGACATTCTTCACAAAAGCAATTTGTTGCTGGTATATATATATATTTTTTTTTAAAAAAAATAAAAAAGGGCTTCTTTTCTAATGTACAAATAAAACACAACAAACAACAACTAAAACAAAAAGTTGGACAAAAAAAGAGTTACTGCCTTGAATATATTTTTGTTTTTCCTGCCTTTGAAAGAAAGAGAGGAATAAAAAACTAAAAAATAAAAATAATTCCTTTTTCTACCTCTAGGAGGTTTAAAAATAACAATCTCCTCTCAGTTTCGATTTTTAAGACTCCGTTATACGTCACTTACAACAAAAAATGGGAGGAGCAAAACTGTGCTTCTGTTATGCATTCTAATCCACCAATGACTCACGAAAAACCTGGTGGTATTGCGATACAGTCTTCTGCTCCATTGTATGCTCAAAAACAACAAGAGCATCTCTCTGAAGAAAAGGTAAATCTTTCTTTTTCATTCTTTATTGCTTTTCAATCCTAATAACAACCACAGGTTCCTAGCAACGCCTTCACCAACGTATACGCACCACCTGTGAACGTGCCAGCAAATAACCATGAACATCACGATCACCCACACACTGAGCCTCACATTCACCATGACCATGCTCAACACGATCATGGCCACGACGATGCCCATCACGATCACAGCCACGACCACCACGATCATGCCCCTGAGCACGTCCATCACGATCATAGCCATGAAAAAGTCCATGTTCACCATGGTCATGCTCACGATCATGCTCACCACAACCATAGCCATGACCACGCTCATCACGACCACGGACATCAACACAGTTACTCGCCCGTATTTACACGTCCTTTGCCTTCCTGGATCCATATATTCTCTCACCTGGCACCTGCACAGAAGACGATTTTTACTTGGTTTTTAATACATGCTGGTATTGGTATTTGGCTATACTGTATGGGCACAAACAGAGAAAGTTTATGTAAGAAGGAAGAAACAGAGGATGTTGGGGATAAAAGAAAGCTTACATTGTTCTATTAGCATTGGTCGGGTTCTCTTATCTAATGATATTTGATGCATTGGGCGTACTTAATTCATTTATTTCCAGCGTTTTAAGAACAAACCCAGCATTCGGCACTTCAAATACAAAGCGACCATTTGGGTGAGAAAAAGGAATCTATAAAGTTTTTTTTAGCTCACACTAAAAACATGATCCATTATATTTTAGTGCACATCGATATGAAATTGTGTTTGCTTTGGGTACCACCATCTATTTAATGTTTGCTACCATGCACAATACAAAAGAATCATTAGAGCATTTCTTATTACAAGACCACCATAAAGCAGAAGCTCACGACAAGGAAGAGTAAGAAAAAAGAGTGTTGGGTTTCTAAATTTATATTGATCTGTCTTTATTTATAGCCACCATTTAAAGATTAGTTTGGGTATGTTTCTTTTAGTGGGTGCTGCACTGACTGCTACCTGTCTCTCCAGTATCACCTTGCGAAACCACGATAATTTTGTTCGCTGTAAGTGTCTGTCTTCTTCTTTCTTCCTATCTTTTTTTATTTTTATTTTTATTTTATTTTTGACATCCGTATCATTAGATTTAAGAAGACGACCCACCACCGTGCATGGATTTTCGTACAACGTGATTAATAGAGCTAGAGGAAACCCATTCCATGCATTGCTGTCTAATGTATATTCATTATCAATTGTCTTGTGTGGATCTGTCATTCTTGTGGCTTACATGTGTGGGATCGCTACTCCTTTTGTAGATAAGCTTTTGGCATTATCTGAGTCTGTTGTCATGTTTTATTTAGGCTATCCTACAGCTAAATCTCTTGCTAAGGTACTATTACAAACCACACCCAACACAGTTCAAAACGGTGTTGAAAACAGACTTCGCGAGGTAAAAAAAAAAATCAAGTACAATTGTAAGAGAGAAAGCTCACAGATATAACCCCAACGTTAGATCCAGCAGGATGCAAACATCATTCATGTAGATCGGGTTCATTTTTGGCAAACGACCTATGGCAAATGTGTAGGCACAATAGAGATTCGAGTTAGACCCGAAGCAGACGAACAAGCCGTATTACAATTTGTCTATCAAAAATTAGAGGGCTTAACAAGTTCCGATGATAATGAAAGTGAACTAACCGTCAGTATTGTGAAATAAAATTTCTTTCTTAAAAGATTTTTATTTGTCTTTTTCATATATTAGAAAAAGCATATGTGTTAGTAGCAGCGGAAGAAGTTGTGTGACCAGTAGTAGAAGGAGTAGAATTGGCAGGAGAATCATAATCATCGTCATATTGATTTCGGCCAAACTCTCCCCAGCCAGCACCCTCAAAGCCTTCCAAGTACTCCTCCAAAAGATCCATGTGTTTATAATTATCTGTTGGTCTTTCCTTTCTCAATTGTTCTGCTAAACTTTGAGTACTTCTTTTGTAGTAAAGGGAAGGTGTTTATTTTTAAAAAAGAGATAAAAGTAATCATTGAAATTACCTGTTGGGAAAGTTTATCCTGTTAATTGAAGGTGAATTTTAGAATCTCTTCTTTGTTCTAGCTGTAATCACTACAAACTAGGTGTTCCATTTAAATGTCCCTGATCAACGTTGAATGAGTCTGTTCCCCCGCAAGTGTTACAGCAGACACTTCTTTTTTGCATGAAGGAAATATACAATAGTTTTGATTTAAGTGGTAGTGATTTTATTAAAAAAAAACTGAGCAATGGAATATTTTATTTACAATGAGTATCGTAAAAAAATAAAAACCATCGATCAGATAGATCACCTTTGATGCTATTCATAACTGATAGCATCAGTTGGACCTAGGATTGCAATAGGTGTTTTTCTTAGTTCTGCTTCTAAATCATTAAGTCCGATTCAACTATAGTCAAAGTAGAATTTAGGCTTCGAAGAAAAAATAGCGCCAGAAATAATAGATTCACTTAATAAGCCTATTGCTTGAGACATTCCATGTATACTTGAAGTGTATTCGTTTTTTAAAGCCTCCATGCTTTGTAAAATTATATTGTAATCAAATTCTTTATGGATTACTCTTTGAAGGCTCCTACTGACTGTACGGTAATCATCGTCCTATTTTTGTATTATATTCAGACTCAAAAGAGGTTAAAGAGGTGCTACTGCTGCTTTCAGCCGTTGATTCTAACGATTGTTGATTCGTAATTTCAGCACTAAAATTATTTATAAATCCATCGACGGTACATTCTCCTGGTTGTTTGCGTCAACATATTTTTGCTAATCCCACAAACCTGATGCTGGAATATCTGCTCCCTTAAAAGTACCAAACCAATTGATTTTTTTTTTAAAAAAAAGAAAAGGACAAAAGAGGTGCTGTTTTTAGTCAAGTCACATACATATAAGATGACTGATGCACAATCACTTTGTCTCGTTAAGACACTTGACTGTCTATCGTTGAGACAAGAGCTGTAAACGTGCACTAACGCTGTTCGTGAAAAGATCAGGTATGCTCACTTGGAATGGTGGTCATTCATTATTCAACCGTATAAAAATTGAACGCATAACGTTTCTTATGATGTAGCCGATAAATACTCTTGTCCAGCTTAATTAAGTCCAATGGTTTCAGCCACATTTTAGGTTGTATATTCCATATCTGCAGTCATGCAACAAGGAGGCAAAAAAATAACCAGCTCCAGTACTTTTGCTCGTTCCTATCTATGGATAGTCAAGTTCCACGCAATGTTTCCCTCTCTTATGATATCAAACCAACCTTGTTAAGCATGATGGAGTATGCCTCAAAGACAGAGGCAGCGCACATCAACATATATTTAATTAAAACAAAAAACAAAAAATTCGAATGTAAAATCACTGCAAAACGTTTGGTTGTAGCACCTCTAATTCTTATTTACACATGAAATAATTGCGGCTGATAAGAATAGACGCATTATTAGGTTGTCAAGATACAAATCGGTTGAGGTGTGTTATCTTTGTGTTAAATGTGTTTGTGACACTTACTAAATAATGAAGTTGCTGTCATGAAAGTTCCGTCTCAATTCCGGATACAATCCAAATAACATGAGAGCTACCCATATATCAACTTATTACTAAACCATAAGTAAGGCTCGAATCAAAAAAACTTGGTGATAGGTTTGTAGCACAAGTATGCGGAGTTCTCAAATATTCGGTAGATTGAGAGCACAGTGTGAATTTATCATTGTCACTTTAACAAGCGATATGTGAAACAATGCCTTGGTGTGACTGTACAACTACGCACTCATCCCCTCCTTTTTTTTTCTTTTTTAATTTCTCTTTTCAATACTTGCCAAAAAAAAAGAAAAAAAAAAAAAAGAAACTCATTGCCATGACTATTCACAATCGACCTACGCCTTTAACGGTCAACCGTTCAGTATCGAATATCAGCAGCCGCGATCATGTAGCTTGTCGTAAAGAAGTATCTTTACAAAAAACAGAAGTGGCTTCCGAAAATAGAACGTTTTACTTTACACCCCACGTATCTCAAGAGGATTCCTCTAGTACTTCACATAGTATCACCCCTACTACCAATTTGGGTCAGAAGAGACCTTATTCTCAATCAGCCACTGACTTGACGTCAAGTCACAAACGTTCGTTTGCAGAGTTGATACCACAGATGGGCGCTGAACCTGACTGGGAATCAAATCCAGGTTGCTTTGCTTATTTGCAAGGTGCATATCAACATGGTCAAAGTAAATACTTGTCCAAAAATAAGGACTCTGACGAGAGCCGAGCTGGTTATGTTATTGGCCGTCATGAAGAGAAGTGCGATGTCGTGTAAAGTATACAGATAATTGTTTGCATACTACAGTAATTAATTTATTATTTTTTAGCGTCGAAGATATAAGCGTCAGCAGAGAGCATTGCTTGATTTACATGGTAATGAAAGGTGGATAGATTTTAATTCTCTTTCTTATATTAATATCATTATTAGGAAACGGGATCCAACGGCGTCAACAAAGGTATTCGTATTTACCTAGAATGCTTAAGGTAAGACGGAGAGATATGTCAAATTGTGCGATGGCGTCATAACATATGACTCATTAGTAATTCGGGCGTCTGGATCGACAAGCAGTTTGTGAAAGTGGGAGAACGTATCATGCTTAAAGGTGGAAACAAGATCAGCCTTTACAAACGAAATCAAGAACCCGTTACTTGTAAGTGCACATGGAGTTTTGTCACGAAATCAAATAACTGACATCTGCCTTTAGTCTTCACCGTACGATTCCCACCTGCGTTTGAAGCCAATGTAAATAAACAAACAAACAAAGAAAAATTGAACCATTCAAACTGGCACACGTGATTTACTAACGCCAACTCCCCCATCCTAGGCTTGTGAGCATGAATACCAATTTACTAAAGAATTAGGCAAAGGTAATTTTGCTGTAGTATATCATGCGTATTCAAGAAGTACGAATCAGTCTGTGGCCATCAAGGTCATTTCCAAAGCATACTTCGATTCCAAGCCCAACTTATTAAAACCCATTGTCCAAGAAATGAGTATTATGATGCAAATGGCCAAACATGTAAGCCTCTTTTTTCTTTTATTTCCAATCATCATCATATCTGCTTAATGATATGGTTTTAATCATTCTCTTTATCTTTCTAGCCTTTCTTAGTTGAGATGAAGGAAGTATTTAATGAAAAGCGTCGAATTTTCTTGGTTATAGAATAGTAAAGTATCTTTAATTCCAGCAAAAATGACTTTTTTTTAACTTTTTATAAATAGTATTCCTGATGGAGAATTATTCAACTGTATTAAAGACATGAATATGCTGACGGAAAACGAAGCACGATTTGTTTTTTGGCAATTACTTAACGCTATCAGAGTAAGTCTTGATTTATGACTGACAAGAATAAAGTGACGATCTAACTGAATCTTTTGTTTAGTATTTACATCGTTTGGATGTTGCACATCGTGATATAAAACCCGAAAATGGTATTCTAAACAAAAACGGATGGTATTAACAAATATCCCTAACAAACATCTTTGCTTAGTCTTAATTTACAATAAGGACAACTTGCATATCAAAGTCTCTGACTTTGGACTAGCCAAGAAGCAAAACCAAGAATTATTTGGCACACAATGTGGTACCGTCAACTATGGTAAAAAAAAACACAACCTATGAATTTTACAAATGCGTGTATGCTGATTTAAAATGTATAGTCGCGCCCGAAGTACTGGACCCAAGAGGAGTGAGGGCATATACCCTAAAATGTGACATGTGGAGTATTGGCGTTATGTTGTATGTATGTTTGTGTGGATTCGCCCCTTTTTCAGATGAATACGCACCACCCTCGATGGAAGCTCAAATCAAGATGGGAAAGTTTGAATTCCCTTCTCCTTATTGGGATAAGATTTCTGATGAAGGTAATGCTGGTTTTATTCTAGCAAAGATCTGTGTATACTTATATTTTAAGGATTAGCCAAGGAATTAGTGTCAGCCCTGCTTACAGTCGATCCGAATGAAAGAGCTTCTGCAGATGATGCTTTGGGTATGCCTTGGATGCATATGGAGGTGAGTTTTTGGATATAAAAGACTGGTCATGTAATTGTGTTCTAACATGGATGTTAAAAATAGGCTCAAGATCTGGAAGAACGTAAAATGGGATTAGGAGAAGAAATACTTGACAAGATTGATCGACTGAACAATCACGCTGAACTGGATCCAACCCAAAAACAAACTCAAATGGTATCACTTGATTAAAGTCACACAACCCCTCCCCTTATTTAGGCCATTGTTTTTAAAAAAAATAAGGAAACAGGAATACACCTTTTTTTTTTCTGTTTGTTAGTCGTTTTCTCTCTTTCTTTACTAAAAAAATAAAATAATAAATACCTATGAATCCATTTGGACAACAATCTGGTATTCCCATGTTCAATCAAAGTAATCATCCACATCGTCGAGTCGTATCGTGTTGTATGGGCATACCGTATGGTATTGGTGTACCACTCGTTTTAACTAGTTGGATTGTAGGTAAAAAAAACATGATCGAACCCTTAATTGCTCTGGAGTAATCGTCTAATTGTTTTTATAAAGGGAATTAGTGTCTACTTTGCTGTCCTTTCATTCATGGGCAAAAGTCGTATGTATATTATCATAACATTATCTATTATAGACTTTTAACATTCAATATAGCATTTTATTCACATCTTCACAAGTCTGCCATAATTGTATTTGGTGTATTAAACCTGATATTTGTAGTTGTTTGTTGTTTCGGATACAGTCTTCATTTGGTAAACAAAAAAAAAAGTTCTCAATGTTTATGTACAAAAGCTAAAATGAATTATGTGGCACAGATTAAACGATCTGTGCATAGATACCGACAATACGCTAAATTACTAGCATGTTGTGTAGCTATACTGATATTGGACATGCTTGCCAATTTTATCTTGTTCTGTATTCAAAAGGACGAATTTGAATTCTGGTGTCATACGCAAGCCAAAGACCATTTAAATCTGCAATTTCAGAACACTGACGTTTTAAATCAATCGTCTTCCTCCGCCATGTTTAATTGCTCCAAGTTATTTAGGGTGGAAGCCGAATTTTCATTTGCCTGCATGGTACTCATGCTGATTGTTTACGTAAGTTGCTTTTTTTGTTATAAAAGAAAAATCATGGTCGACTAAATTATGTTGATAGGCTTATTGGGTTTCGTTTATCATCAGGGTATCGAGAAATTTCATCTTATTAAGACCAGAGATTCAAATGTATCCTGACTCTATGCGCCATCAATTACGGATGCAACCACCTATGGTGGCGCCCGCTATTCCTCCACCGGATCTTCTTTCGCAGCCTAAAGCTATCCCAGAAGATAGTATTATCTTGACTTGAACGCCATTTTTTGTAGTTTCTCTTAATTCCTTTATTCCCTTTTATAATAAATATATGTGCTTTATCCAGAAATATGTAAGAATCAGTAATGTTTGGAGTTCCAATTGCAACAATAATACCAAATATCAAAAGTATGATAAATATCCACAGATGTCCTCCTAGATTTTTTAAGACCTTGAAACGACCTTCACCCATACAACTATAGCATGCCAATCCATACTATGCACTGTAGATTTTTCTATGATAACAATAACCATTACCACTGGATAAGTAAGGCATGATCTATGGGTGAGATTAGAGTTGACTTACTTCGCCTGAGGTTGTGTCCAAAATAGCTTTTTGTTTATCCAAAAAGGTAAGTGCCCAGAATGCTTGTTTGATTCGTCAAATAGGGTCTGAATTTAAAAAGTGAAGAAAACTGTACTCCCTTCTTTGCTGTTTCTCGGGTCCAACTCGCCCCTCTTTTTTTGATTCTTTTTATTCTTTGTCCAATGATGCCTGAATCCTTTATCAAACAAAATGTGCCAAATTGGCTACAGTATATAATGACATTCACAGGCATTACTGGATTAACAGGAGTTGTTCTCTTATACATGTACCAATGTAAACTAATCTACCCAGCTTCCTTTCCCGAAGGTTCACGTCAAGAGGTACTATTTTTTTTTTTGTTGTTGTTGGCAATTTAACAAACATGGAACTTAAGTGATTATTTTACAAAGGTAGCAAAACCTACAGAGTTTGGCATGAAATATATCGAGAAAGATTTAATGACCAAGGATAAAGTCAACATCAAGAGTTATGTTATACTTCAGACTGATTTGGAAGTAGCTAAAAAATCACCTACCATTCTTTATTTTCATGTAAGGGATATCTTTTTTTTTATTGCATGTCTACCGAGAGGTTATTAACATTTTTTTATTAAAAAAGGCTAATGCCGGAAACATGGTAAAAGGAGACAATAGGAGAAAGATGTCAAAGGGGCTATTATAAGATGACTTACACTTTTATTTAAACACTTTAGGGTCATCGTTTGCCTATTGCTAAAGTATTATACGACCGTTTCAACTGTAATGTGGTCATGTTGTCTTACAGAGGCTACGGTAAAAGTGAGGGCTCGCCCAACGAAAAGGGTTTTAGAATCGATTCACAGACATTACTAGATTTCGTAAGAGAACACGAGATTTTAAAAGACACTCCACTTGTTGCTTATGGACAGTCTATTGGTGGTGCCGTTGCCATCGATCTTGTTTCTCGTAATGAAGATTCCTTCTCTGGTTTAATGGTTGAAAATACGTTTTTAAGTCTGGTAAAAGAACAAACAAACAAAAAGAAAGCTTATATTAACGCATGTTGTGTACAACCCTTCCCTATGTAGCCGAAATTGATTCCAAGTGTGATGCCATTTTTGAAGCATTTCACATTTTTATGTCATCAGCAGTGGCCAAGTGAAAAAAGCATTCGACATATTGTCAACATACCCATTTTATTCTTGGCAGGTGCAAAGGACGAATTAGTCCCACCTTCCCACATGGTTACCTTGAACGAATTAAGTGAAACCCGAGGTCAAAAAACTTGGGTCGCATTTCCTAATGGTATGCATAATGATACCTGTATGCAACCGGGTTATTTCAATGCCATTCGTGATTTCTTAGAAACCTATGTTCTCAAAAAGGAATCCTCCTCTTCAAAAATCAATAAAGTCTTTGTCGATGGTCAACCAGTCGCTGCTAATGGTGAATCAAGCCGACTTGTCAGTGGTAATACCGATGAAACAGGTGTACCTCATGATATAGAGTTTATCGAATTGGATGAGGAATAATAGCGTCTTATTTCTCAATTTTACCCTTCTACTTCTAAAAAAAAACAATCAATAAACGTGCATTTCATTTGAACTTCATATCATATCCAAATGATGTTTCCTCTAGAATCAAATACACATTTAGTAACCTCGAATCCTCAGCCTGCATGAGACCTTATCATACACGCCTATAGAACGTACTGTCAAGTACAAACATTTATGTTTAGCTTGACAGAAAGCATGGATGCAAAGTTAATGCTTATTTTCTTCGAAATTTTAAACAATGATTGCTTTTATTTATTTTTTGTCTACAATAAACTGACTAGTCTCCTGACATTTTTAGTGTAATAAATCCAAAAATAAAATGTCGTTTTTAATATGGTTCATACCCGATCAGGTTTTTTTGTCAATCTTCTCCTTTAAGTTACATCGGATACAGACCTAACTAAGTAAATCAACACTTAATATGCCATATTATAGTGTAATCCAGTCACTTCTAACAAACACTTACATGGAAGGGTGGCGTTAATTTAGCGAGAATACGTTAACTTTTCTATCGCCATTAAAAGATGCAAAGGAATAAATAAAATACCCACAGAAATTTATAATGCTCAGACCTTTTACACTGTGCACTAGTTCACAAAACTTGGATTACACCCGCTCTTAAAGCATTGTACAGCAACATGATGATATATCACCAGATAATACAGATTTAGATATAGAAAAGGCACAATTATTATTGTATAACAATTGTGATGTTAAGCACCAGACTTAGGGTAGTCAGCCTAGTTTTATAATCTATTAAAGAGAGATATTCGACGATACAGTATTAAAGATGACAATTGATACAAATCAATCAACATACAGGGAAATAAGGATATATTTCTTAAATTAAAAAAGATAAATAGTTTTTCACCAGCTTACTTCCAGAAGTTACTGCTATTGTAAACTACAAAAAGAGCTACAAACAACAACACAATTAAGCCTAAAGAATACAACTAAGTATCAATGAAAAGGTACTTTTTTGCATGAAAAACTCCATCTGGTTTAACAACAAGCCAAGTTATTATTGGCTGCAATACAGTGCATCTATTTTACAATGAACAATTTTTGGCTCCGATTTTTCAAAAAAAATAAAAACTCTATCTCCTCGATGAATTCAACAGGTATCCAAAATCCGGCTCTATTACATTCTTTATTAGAGAGTTCTCCACAAACTAATAGAGCCGGAATTTTTTTTATTCACACAAGATTTTTTACAGATGGCAAAACAAAATTGGCCATTTACAGTGGGGAGACCCAAAGATGTCCGGGAGGTGTTTTACAGTGCAAAAATTCATAAAAATCCAACGGATATATCCCGTTTAAACATTTTCCCGCAATAAATTAGATTTCTCTGTCAAAAAATATGAAAATTATCAGTCTAAAAATCCGACTTTTAAGTTCTGAAAATGTCCGTTTTAACGAAAATTGTTCATTGTAAAATAGATGCACTGTACATCACCCGAATGTACTCAATCTTTTTTTATCTAACAGAATAATATTGCGTATAATTTACAGATGCCAAAGGAAGTATAAAGTGCATTTTGTTATTGAAAATAACAAATAAGATTTTTTTATTTTTTAAAAAAAAATTATTTCACCTGGGATTTAAAATAGCGTGTGTCGTGAGACTGAGTCGCACTGCCAAACCGATAGATAACTCTCCTTATCTACTACTACTGTGGTACAAGCTGCCAAAGGGAGAGAAAAAAAGGGCGCGATGTAACATTATTTATAAGGATTCAGTGATGATATTTTCCCGTAGCGACGGTGCCAAAAGCAGTGAGCTTTTTTAATATGTATATTTAAAGAGCTGCTTTTGTTGGTAGCATTTAAAGATGGTAGAGCGTTCGATCCATCCATCCATCCAGCTCAGTTCAATTTTTTTTTTTTTTTTTATTTTTTTTTTTTTTTTTTTTTCATGCATGGATGGATGAATGCATTAACAGGTGCCATATAAAACAAAAGAGATGGATACTTTGGCTTGAATGATGAAAGAGAAGAATTACGTCCGGGAAGGTCAACTTCAGCGTATCAACCGCATCCATTAAAACCATGGTGACGGTGATGTAAATTCAACTCCTAATGATAAAGCAAAAGATCATCAAACTCTCGTATGATCCAAATGTGTACAAATTGCACTACCTGATTTAGGAAGCATTGGCCTGACTAGCCGTCAACCATAGGCAATGCCCTTTAAAAAACGATTGACCTTTTTTGTCTGTAGCCAGATTTTTCAGCAATGTCTACTAAAGATACACTCATGTCACCGCTTGGATATTTCTTCGTTGCTATAGCTTGTAACCATAGGCTTAGAAAGGATGCAGTTTTTCCCTGCGTTAAATTTTCTTTGTGGTAGTGATATAGCGCTAGTCCGGATTTAGATGTAGAAAAGCGACAGTTGTTATTAATTTACAAATGTGATAGTGAGTACCAGACTTCAATTATTCAGCATAAGCTGACTATTGTTTATAAAAGAAAGAAAAAGAAAAAAAAAGTGTTTTGAGAGTGATCTTAAAGGAGATACAAATCCAGTAGTATACCATGAACGAGTAAATAATATAGTGCTTTTAGATGTAAAAAGCTAAATCGTTTTTTTAATGAGCTTTTACAAAATGTTGCGAAAAGATAAATACAAAAGCTAACAGACAGCGACGAAAAGAGGGGATATTACTTGGTAATAATTATATGATAGCTCTTATTATTTTTATGCATGATTCAATCCTGTGCAACACCCGATGATCTGTTGGTATATTTGCCACTTGAAGCACTTATATGAGAATCTATTAGGGATTATTACTTTTCAACTGTCCAGCTTAAATTGTGTAATTATCAGCAGGCTCCAGATAATATATGGTGTCAATATTGGTTTATGGGCAGTTTCTTGGTATTCTTTTCCAATCTTGACGCTGTCATTGATTTACCTGTCATGATCCTGTTAGATCTTATGCCACAAATATGCTTTATGAGTAACCAGCTTTCAGACTCAATATTTATCATTGATCTGTCAGCTCTTTAAATTCTTTGTCATGATCCACATAAGCTAGGACTAACTTTTGTCATTACTTATTCTTTTATTTAATTTCTTGTTTATCTTTCTCTATAAATATAGCTGATTAATTTCACTTCTCCCAGTTTTCTTTCTCAGATATATTTCATAATCATCTTCTCTTTTCTTTTCTCCCTTTTATTCTTAAATAAATAACCTGCTCCAAGAAGCTATTCATTCTCTGTTCTGTCCTGCCTGTCTCGTTCCTCCCTCGTTCCTGACATTACCAAACATCGATGTTCGTTTTTTTTTTTTTTTTTTTTTTTTTTTTTTTATAAAATTCATCACATCAATTGCTATATGTGTAGGAGACTAAGTAATGCCTTATGAATAAATCACTGCTTTTCATCCATACATAGCCGAAAAAAATTAGCTTTCAAAAAGAGATGAAATTCCAACATTGTACGCGTATTTGGAACCAGAAGTTTGGGAATGTCAGTACGATCTTAAAGGCGCGGAATTTAAAAACGAAAAAAAAATAAAAAAAAGAAGGCACCTCAATTCTGATTCGATGGGCGGACCTGCTTCCGAAGACGCTGTACGCCAATCTCAGGAGAATGGGGAGCCTTAGACAGTGGTTGACGGAAAAATCAGTTTCAAGAGTAAATTTTGTCACATGATTATAATACCTTTATGGTGAATAAACCCAGAAGTAGCTCGCCACTCTGGATTATGTTTGTTCTAGAAATGCCACTGGAAGCACTTATATGAGAGAAACTATTAAGGATTATTAATTTTCAACTGCCCAGCTTAAATTGTGTGATTATCAGCAAGCTTTAGCTAATACATGGTATCAAAAATTGTACCTACGCAAAGATACACAGCATCATAGGTGGGTATGATCAATATACTGGCAAAAATCCATGCACAATACGAGACATTTATAATGAGATAAGCATAAAAGGTTAAAAAAAGACGTAAAAGGTAAAAAAAAAAATAAAAAAAAAAATAACTTTGTTATTATATCCATGATATCCTTAACAGACATCAAGAGGTCAATATAAATTAACAGCTTAAAATATATACACATTTAGTACAAACAACATAGTTTAAACCAGTATATGTGTTTTACAGCTTACCTTCAGCTTCTGGTTTAGTATTTCGGCATAAGCTTAAGATCAAACGAGCTCAAAGGCGAATGAGTGATGACAGATGTCAAAATAAGTATAAATCGTTTAATAAACATTTATGCGTAATTTTTACATTGTTTTTTGATTGTATATCCTTGTTCCCAGGTCTAGAGAACATCGAAATTACAGATCTTATGTTGCCACTACGTGCACTTTGGCTGTCCCAAAAGACAGCGCTGTCTTTCAAAATTTATTTATTGTTACTGAGGGGTGATTATTTGCTTTTTTGTGTCTTTTGTTTTACGAGTGACCAAGAGCAATGTGAAAGAGTCATTGGGACAACAAGTCGAAAGAAGTATTTTTTATGAAAGAAAGCACACTGTTTTTAAACGGCCAGCGTTTGAAAGTATAGTTGTCATACGATTGGATTGCAGAATGGAAGCACCGTTGTGAATGTGAAAGGTTGATTGTCAAAAACTTGTCTCCATTTAGATCTCCACATCCCAAGTAAAATACAAGCAACAATGAAAACGAATGATAAAGAAGTGGCGACAGTAGATTTTTTTTGTTTTTGTAATTCATTTGAATCAAGCGAAACGAGTATAGCCAGTATTCTACCAGGTTGAATTAGCACGTCCGTAAAAGGTGGTCGCGGGCTTTGGACGGAGCAAGGAATCACGCAATATAGCTCCCAATTGTTTTGGTTGATCTAATGCGTGAATACATGTGGACATTTAGGACTCAAGAAGAGGACAAAAATAGATAGACCCAGTAGACTATATATTGGGACCCAGGAGACGACGACAGTTACCAGTAGGTTGCATATACGCATCGGCTATTGCGACCCCAAATTTACGAATTAGCTTAGGGGAATATAGTTTCACGATCAGATTGTTGTTGAAGAATATGTGTATTGGGACCCACGATGAAGAAAATCGCGTACCAAGATCTTAGACATACGGACGCTGTGGTGAGGGAAAACCACAGAAATAATTGACTCAGAGGCCAGAATAACAGGAGTGTTGGAAGCTGGAATAACAATTGAAGCTAGGCCCGACTGCAGTAACGTAGCTAATGACAAGTCAGACAGACTAAGACTATAGGTAGGTAAGGAATCCCTCAGAGAAAAGAGAATTGTGAACGTATTTGTTGTTAACGGATGAAATCTATGTCTTTTTGTTGGAAATAGAAGTGTCAAATTGCTTACAACTTGAAAATAGCAGAGAAGAGTTATGCCTAAAGTTAATTATCCCAAGAATAGGGTGGATATTTTGATGAAGAAAAAAACTAAAGCAAATAATAAAGGAATGGGAGTGTAACTTTTATAAATGTTTGAGAGTGTGATTTCTATAACTGATTGGGATTGTGAGTTCTACAAATGATGAAAAGATGGTTTTAACTAAACTTGAGATTTTTGAAAGAGAAAAAGAGATCGATTAGGGACCATACACAACAAGCTGTCAATTTCACCTTGTTCAATAGTAGAGAATTTTTTAATACAGAATCCCAGGTGATTAGAAAGAGTAAATGGGGAATTATCTACTAATACTGTGGTACAACTTGCAAGAAAAAAAAAAGAGCAAATAATCTCCCATGAACACATCACTATCAAAGGCTGTCAATTTCGGGTCAACATCACATTGTTCAATAGTAGAGAATTTTTTTTTAATATAAAGTCCCAGGTGATTATAAAAAGTATATGGGGGGATTATCTACTACTACTGTGGTACAAACAGCAAAAGGGAGAGAAAAAAAAAGGGTGGGATGTTGTTACACCACCTTTTTCTTCTTCTGTTGGTCCTTTAGACTTCAGATCCCTATATTTTTGACTGCTTTTTGGTCCTTTTCTTATAAAAGGACCATAAAATTATTTAATAAAATCTTTAGTTTGTTCTTTACTATAATCTGATTTAGTCTTATTCACATAAGCCTGGTTTCATTATAAATATATATAACTACTGTTGTGTTTTAAGGTAAGGTTTTAAATTATAAAAAGACTATGGGAGTAGTTTGAGACTGTTTATAAGATTGTCTTTTATTAATAAATGAAATGTACGAATATTTATATAAAAGACTGTCTGCTGTGTTCATATCTCTAGTGCTATCTTGAAGTTATCATTGATTAACCAAAAATGTATACGATTATTACATAGTCACTAATTTAGTCTTGTTCTAATAAATGTTAAGTCTTCTTAACTCTCTTTGCTTTAAACTAAATTTTAAGTATTTCTCAGACGTACTAAATTAGACTTGTGATGTAATATCCTTATAGTTCTTACTATGACATTTATTGTTAAGCTTATATCACAAATGGTATCAGCATGGATAAACCTTTGTTAGCTCTAATATGGCTATAGCCTTGCTAGGTCACCACATTATCCCCACCCAGGTATTAACTAATACCGTTCAAGTACTTCTTTTTTTTTTTTTTTTTTTTTTTTTTTTTTTTTTTTTTTTTTTTTTTTTTTTTTTTATTTATTTGACATCAGCTTGGTCTTTGTTTACTTAAACAAATAGATACTACTTATCTCCTTAGAAATACTAATCTTAGATTCATGAATACTACTTATTCAGAATCAATATTTCTTCTTGTTTTGACTAACTGATCTTGTCGTTCTTTTTCTCTTTGTACCTGAACTTGGTTGGTTCGCAACATTTATATCCTTCAATAATCTTTTATTGGCCTTATTGATTTCTTTGATGCTTTCTGGTACTTCACCAATTCTTTGCCAGTATTCTTTGATAAACTTTGGATCTGTAAAGTTTTCTTCTGGTTCCCAAGAATCATAAGATTCATCAAAGTCAAACCATTTGCATCTATACAAATACTTGTTATTGTCATCTTTCTTATGACCAATGATTGCTTCAACTTCAAGAAACTCATCTTGATGCTCTGAGATCTTATCAGAAACTTTCTTTAGTAAGGAAGGAGGATAATTTCTAGGTTCTAAGAAACCTTTTTCATTCTTAAGAACATACGTATTAGCAGCAGTTTTTCTAACAACAGTATAAAATCCCTTATACTTTGGATCTAATTTATTCTGTTTCTCTGTAATCAAAATCATCACTGTCGATCCAGGCTTCAGGTCTAGCATTTTGTGACTTGTATCAAACTTTTGCTTTTGCTTTTCAGTGACTTGTTTTACGTTATCATACACTGCAGGGTAGACTATCTCAGTCATTCTTTTATCTTTTCCTGTAACTCTTTACGTGTATTTTCAGCTGTTTCATAATCCTTCTCTTGACTAAAGTCAACAAAATCATTTGGATTCCTACCAAACATTAACGAAAATGGAGTACTCTTAGTTCTAGCGTTATACTTGCTATTCAAAAACAATTGAGCAGAAGGCACCTTTAAATCCCAGTCAGCAACGTTACCAACTATTTGCTTCTTAATGGTGTTTACTGCAGACTGTACAGCTCTTTCACTTGCACCATTAGCTCTAGGGTGATACTGAGAAATTAACGCGTGTTCAAAACCAACGTTCTCTTTTATGCACTTCATTAGAGAGTTCACGAACTCACGACCTCCATCACTTTGCAACTTACGCATTGGACCCCATGTACCAATTATGTCTAACACTTGTAACGCAACCGTGGCCATGCTTTTATCTGGTATGGCACGTAACACATAAAACTTACTTGCAATGTCGATCATTACTAACAAGTACTCATTACCTTTAGTTGACATTGTGAATGGACCAGCTAAGTCGATACCCCAACTATCCCCAGGAAGTGTGGCACTGACAGGTCTTAAAGGGTTGTACCCCTTTCTTGTAATGTTATGGCGCTGACATTGAATACATGACTGAATAAGCTCATTTGCTTGTTCCTTCAACTTGGTCCAATAGATACCTTTTCTCTTTAAGGCATGTACTATTGCTTCTATACCAAAATGACCTTTCAAATGTTCTTCGACTACCAACTTATTTCTCTCATTCTCTGTAGGAGGAGTAAAGTATTCACCACTCAGGATATCTGGCAGAGGTTCTTTAGTGACAGCACTATTTCTCATTATGGATTTAACCTCATTATCCCCACCCAGTTCATTTAACAATGGTTCAGTCTCCTCAGACAAACGCGACAACGCATCAGGCAAGACATTAGCAACACCAGGTAAATGAACGATCTTAAAGTCATACTGCAAAATTGTGTCCATCCATGCAATCATCATCAGATTTGCGACACGTTGGGTGTGCAGATACGTCAAAGCTTTATGATCCGTATATAAGGTAAAAGTGGATCCATAGACATACTTATGAAAACGCTTGAGTGCAAATACTAATGCTAGTAATTCTCTTTTTGTAGCGGAATATTTTCTTTCACTCTTGGATAAGCTCTTAGCTACAAAAGAAATATATTTGGTCTTACCAGCTATGACTTGATATAATACAGCTCCAATACCACTAAGAGATGCATCACAACTAATACAAAAACGAGAATTCATATCTGGATACGACAAAACCAGATCACTCAAAAGTGCTTTTTTCAAGTTATCAAATGCAGTTTGCTGTCTAGCGGTCCATAAATGTGTAATAGACTTTTCATTTCTTAATGAATCCAATGGCGACATGATGGATGATACATTTGGAATCAACGTTCTGAAGTAGTTGATCAAACCACAATAACTTTGGATATCTTTACCCGTTTTAGGTTGAGGAAATTCTAATACATTAACAAGCTTTCTACGGTCCATGGTAATCCCTTTTGGAGAAATGTGAAAACCAAGTAAATAAATCTTTTGAAAGAAATGGCATTTCTTAGGATTTAATTTCAAATTGACCCTTGTTAATCTCTCAATAACTTGCTTCAAGTGTTCTTTATGTTCCTCAAACGTCTTACTAGCACAAACAATGTCATCCACAAAAAATCTTACAAAAGGTAAACCTTCCAAAGCTATACTCATAGTTCTTTGAAACTGTGAACTAACATGCTTGATACCAAATACTGTTCCGATAGGCTTATACTGTACACCACGCCATGTGAAACTGAGCTTATGTGCATCCTTTGGGTTCAAACGCAAAGAGTTGAATGCAGACTTCAAGTCAAGAGTTGAATAGATATTAGCACCTTTCAAATCTTCAAAGAGTTCACCAATAAGAGGCAGAGGCATACGATCAATTGACTTCAATAGAGTATTCACTAATCTGGGATCATGGCATACACGATAACCAGTCACTTCACCTTTACCATTTGTCTTCTTGACTACAGTCAAAGGTGTATTCCATTCCGTGTTTGCAGGAGCTCTTTCAATGATACCATTCTCAATCCATTCTTTCACCTGTTCATCAACGACACCTTGCATCGAAATAGGAATAGGATAAGGACTTCTGAAGGCAGTAGCATTTTCCGGAGTATCCAAGCAAACAACACTTTCAGGTATGGTACAAAACGATCCTTTAGGAATAGCTTGATTGTTCTTAACATATCTTTGAATATAATCCATAGCTTCCTCAAACTCTTTGGGACCAACAGCGGGATTATTTTCCTTTAACTCATTTTCTCTTTCAATGGATTCAAGAAGATCACTCTTATTGTTAAAGCGCCTATCAGCTTCAAGTCTTTCTTCGGTTGAATCTTTATCATCATAGACTAAAGGTAAACCATAAATACCAATTCCAAGAGAAAACATATAATCAGTACCAATACTGAAATCATACTCGTTACTATTAGTCAAGTTCATCACTTCGAACTCACGTCGAATGGTCTTACCATTACAAGAAACATTCATTACACAAGTACCGATTCTTTTCACGTAAGTGTTACTATCAGCTAAACGTATAAAATATTTATGCACATTATCTTTGTTTACAAATTTTTTATTAACTTGTGTTACATAACTAATAGCTATACTATTCTTCGTACAAAAATTCACATCCACAGAACTAAACGTGGCACCACAGTCCAACAACGAGATGGTTAATCAAGAGCCATCATAGACAAAGCACTAGTATTGTCCTCCAACGAGCGAGAAGAAGAAGAAGAAGGTCCAGCCACAGAACCAGAAGAAGAGCTTGGTGACCCACCAGAACGAGTTGCCATTCGTGATACCCTGGTCTCAAGATATCGTTCCCTTTCGGGACAGGAGTGTCCTTTCTCCCAAGGAGACTTACACGAAAAGCAAATGTTATCTTTCAATGCAGCTTTGAAATTCCAAGTCTTCTTGGATCTCTTACCAGCATCGCCAGAAGAGGAAGATCTTTTCTTACCCTTACCAGCACCAGAAGAAGAAGAAGCACCATTTCTTTCGGCGAAAGATTTCCACTCGGAAACAGGACTGGTCTCAGCGTCGTTCTTCAACAAAGAAGAGGTGTCAAAAGTCGTGGTACTTACCAACGAAATGATTTCCTCGACCTTCGATGGCATCTTGGTTCCATAATTGGATGAGAGCGGGATCATACAAGCTTGTCGGACTTCCGGACGCAGATTCCACCAAAAACAGAGAACCAATTGGATACCATCTTCCAAAGAGGCTTGGCGTCTAAATTTCTGAAATTTAGCTCCAAACGCGCGAACTGACTCCTTTGGTCCTTGCTTCATTGACCAAACACGACCCATGTTAACGAACTTTCGAAAAGGAGTGTCACAGTAGTCCAAGAGTTGACTTTCTGCTAATTTCCAACTCATGGACTTGCCCTTGAGGTTGTCATCGAACCATACTCTTGTTTCCTTGGTTAGGCACGAAGGAAGGAGACGTTCCCAAGAGTCATCCAAAACCAACGCGTGGGCTTCCAAAACAGTTACGAACTCCTGGCAAAAATCATACACAGAATCGAAGAGTTCACGAGAGGGCTTTTCCAAATACAAGTCTGACTTCAGCTGCAGGAAAGGAAGGTTGTTGGGCACGAAACGGCTTCGTTCATCTTGTACCGGGACAGAAGGCGAATTTTCTTCACGAAGGTTTTTCAAGGTCTCTTCCGCATCCTTGTAAAGAGCTAAGGCCTCCTTTGACAGCAATGATGCATTCTTGCTTGCATCAGAACGAGCATCCACCTTGGACAGAGCCAAATAGTTACCAAGACAGATATAATAACTATTTTTCTTTTTTTCAAAGTCTTCTTGAGCAGACTCGAGGAGCATACCGGCAGTGTACTCAGTATTGATGTTAATTCTGGGACCATCCGAACTACCAGCAGCGGAGAGAGCAGAAGAGGAATGATCAGAATCATTTTCAGACATCACAGTGTCTTCGTCACGAGCAACAGTAGGGACTTGATTACGATGAACATCGTTTTGTTGTTCATGAGCAGCAGGAGATTGGATAGGAGATTGTTGAGCAGACATAGTAGAATTCAAACTAAAAAATGTTGTGTTTTAAGGTAAGGTTTTAAATTATAAAAAGACTATGGGAGTAGTTTGAGACTGTTTATAAGATTGTCCTTTATTAATAAATGAAATGTACGAATATTTATATAAAAGACTGTCTGCTGTGTTCATATCTCTAGTGCTATCTTGAAGTTATCATTGATTAACCAAAAATGTATACGATTATTACATAGTCACTAATTTAGTCTTGTTCTAATAAATGTTAAGTCTTCTTAACTCTCTTTGCTTTAAACTAAATTTTAAGTATTTCTCAGACGTACTAAATTAGACTTGTGATGTAATATCCTTATAGTTCTTACTATGACATTTATTGTTAAGCTTATATCACAAATGGTATCAGCATGGATAAACCTTTGTTAGCTCTAATATGGCTATAGCCTTGCTAGGTCACCACAACTACTATAATTGTACGAAAGCCCTTCTTATAAATCAGCACTGAATAGTCTTAACAGTTGTATTTTACTATACTCCTTCGAAGACACAGATAACTGATTCGTCGTAGCATTTCCCTTTTATATCTTTATATTTTATTTTATCTTAGTTGACAACTTACAGTCTGGTGCTCACGTTTTAAGAACTTTTATCTTAATCTCTACTAGTGTTCGAACTTTTCGAGCTTGCACCGATCTTGCGCTAGTTCGAACGAAGCTCGAACCGAGTTTTTGTACTCGAGCTTGCGCCACTTTTTTTGGGTTCGAGCGAGCTTCGATCGATGCTCGCTCAAAGCTCGCTCGGCTAAAATGTCGATAGTAGTCACTTTAAAGTTTAGGTCCTTGAAAGACTACAGATGGCATTTTCCCTTGATTTTAATCTTTTCTTCCCTTTACCATTTTTTTTTATTTATGCTCTAATAATTCCAATTAAAATGCTTTGGACTTTTATTTAATTGTACAACCAACAAACACATTTACCATAGAAAATAAAACAGTGTTGCACACTATACCCAACTAAGCCAATTTTTTACAGCAACCATAATAACATGACGTAGCAGAATTAATTTAAACTTTCATGTTCAAAAATCCAAATGTATTATAATTATGGATGCAGTAATAGTTTGATTTAATTATCCGAATTTGGTGTTTATAATACTTAATATATGACTCTGTCTACTAAATCTTCCATTTAATAATCCTAAATATAATTCTTATTGATACTGTTATATTAAATACTGATAATTTACTTTATGTACAGGCTTGATCTCATATCATCCTTCATACAAGTATAAGACATACATTTAAATTATGACATTGATATGAAAACATATGAAGGTTACATCAGCCACATTGAGGTGCCACAGCTATCTGAATTAAGAACTACATTTTCCCCTGAATATTGTGCTACAAGACATTCACAGTTTAAGAATGAATGCTATTGTTATTGTTATGGACATCTCATTATGGCCTTTCTATATGGGATCATTACATTGGAGTATTATCTGGATGAATCTACCCACGACCGTCATCAGTACATCTGTGATCAATGTCTGAAATAATGTGTATATAAAGACCCCCTTTTATTTGTTTAATAAAGCCTAAGTTAATTTTTGCAATTTTGATAATTTTCTTGTTTTTATTTATAAATCTACACCGATTTCCACAGACTCATGGGTTTCGGCCACGTAAGCTGAAACTAACACTAAGACTAATTAAGTAAGCCAAGACATTCTTAAATGCAAACCCATGTTATCTGAAAAGATATAGATACTCCCCCTTTTTATTATTAAATACTTTGTAAACCGTTCTCCTTTTGTCTTTGTATAACTGGTAGGTATCTTCTGATATTATTGCTATTATATAATCCTAGCCACGTTCCTGAAACGCTTGTTAATTATAGTGGTGATGGGAACGCTTGTTAATCAAAGTAGTGATGGGAACGCTTGTTGATCAGAGTGATGATTAATCAAAGTGGTGATCGAAACGCTTGTTAATCAAAGAGGGTCATCCTATAATAAGCGATGTGTTTTTTCGTTTTCGTTTTTTTATCTTTACCTCAATTTAGGCAAAAACACACACACACACATACACATACACACAGACACAAACAAACTATGGAACACCATTTCGAAGAACGCAGAAATGAACTATACAATCTTTTCACTTCGTTTTGTGAAGGTAAAAAAGTTTAGTTGGGATGGGGGTGTGAATCGACAAAAAGGATGTGTGAGTATGGGGGAATACTGACAATTTATTTTTTGGGGATGGCTGTAGATTTTGCCCATCATGCTCCTTCTACAATTACCACAATGTTAATTGATAACGACTTTTTTTTTCTGGCCTGGAGCCATTACCGGTGAACGAAGGCTATCTTTGTTTGACCTATAACCAGTACAGAGTTCGCATGAGCCAAGTACCTCTGCCGGTCCGATTTGGTAGGAATAACAGCAAAAAAAAATCCATATAAAACATCTGGTATCAATACTAACATGAGAGGTGATTTAGTGAACGTCGTTGACGATGAGGAGGACAAACTTTTGGTGTCTCCCCCTCATCCTGCAGCTCCTTTCGTGGCTTTCCCCCTGTGGCTGAGGTTCTGCCTGTCCCCCCCCCCTCTGCTCCCCTTCCACGTGGCTCTGCTATCACCACCGCCCAACCCTCCCCACCCTGACTTTTTCGCCCGTCAGTATGAAGGTAAGTTTGTCACCATGGTAATGGTTTTTCGATAAAAGTAACCTGCATCTCATGTTGTCTCTCTCTCTAGTTGGTGACCGTTTTCGACGTTTTCCTGGTGAAATTGTTCACGCAATCACCACCACCACGAATTCCATTCGCTTGCCCTTTGCTCGGGTTGCTAGAGGGCAGTTGAAGTTAAACACAGTAGTAAGGGAGTATATATTTGTGCAAGGAAACATGGCCGCCTCACAGGTTAGAAACCTTCTGCTGGCTTTGATCCTTTTTCTGATGAATGATGGGGTGCTAACCGTGCGCCAACTTGCTTGTAAGTTGTTTAAAGATGTTTTCAAAATCACCTTAACTTATCTATCTTTATCAAACAAAAATGTAGTGCTGCACTCACCCGACCCAACTCGCTCTGAGCTGGAATCCATTCGACTGGCATTAAAACTTGGAGCCTTTCTTGCTCCAATTGTGGAAGACGCAGGTCTTACTGCTTTGTTGTTGGTCGACCTGTTCCCTCCGTCGAAACTACAACGGGCAAGAGCGGCAGTCCTTTCGGACTATGGAGCTTTTGTTGCAGGTTTAAACCTGCGTAACTTATTCGAAAGTCAACGGTTGCCTTTAGTTCTCGCTTTCGGTGTCGAAACATTGTGGGACTTCCACAATGAGTTTTTTTAAAAAACGTTTTTCTTTTTCTTTTTCCAACTTCTATTTCAATAAATAACAATTTTATTATCTTAACTTTCTGCAATTAACATCACTTTGGCGTGCACTTTGTGTAATAAAAAGGACGAGCGAGTTCGAGCTATCTTATTTGCAATCGAGCCGAGCTTAAGAAACTTCGAGCGAGCTCGAGCTGCAAAAAAACGCATTTGAGCGAGCTTCGACTGGAACACGATCGAAGCTCGCTCGAGAGTTTCGATCTTCATTCCGAACACTAATCTCTACTCTTTTTTCTTTATTTCACGTTACCGCTTTTACACTTAAACAAGCCAGTAACAATATATAAAAATATGAATAAAAGAGAGCCAATCCCAGAGAAACCAGATAAAATACATGTATGTAATTGGTTTTTCTCAGACATAAATTATTTCAAAAATCACATATAATGGATAATATATTTAAGGGGTATGACAGAATGAATGTAATTAAGGTTATTCACATTCTTTATGACATGGCGCATGATTTTCAAATTCCAGAAACTGAAAATCACATACAAATTCGGGTTTCAAAGCTTAAGCTTAATTGTACATAGCGAACCTCCATTTTCGTATTTGATTTTTTTTTTTTTTTTTTTTTTTTTTTTTTTTTTTTTTTTTTTACATTTTTGATTTACTATTTGGGATGTCCAAAGTTTCATTGTCTGATGACGAGCCATCACAAAGCAAATCCAGCTATTTTTGTATATACAACAATTGCTTTAGCATTTATTGCTTAGTCCAATTACTTTTCTTCAACTACTTAAATTGAATATTTTTAAGATCAAAATAATAAATTAAATCACTGCAATAAGTACGACAAACACGTTGCCCTACTGGAACTGCAATTCTTTGGTCCCTCGCAAGCACAGCAAACTATTTTTCAAAGATTCCGATTAAGGACATTCGATTTTTATTTGTCAAAGGTTACATTTTTTTATAAACAGAATCTGTTAAAATTTTAATAATAAATATGAACGATTGCATATCTTCAGCGGCAGAAAATCAGAATTGTGCAAATGAAGAAGTAAAATCTGTATGCCCAAAAACCTTCTATCAGATTGTTTAATGTCCAAATCCGATTTATTTTCCAATAAGAACATTTTATTTTTATCGATTTTACTTTCTTTTTACCATCTCCATTTTATTTTACAGATAAGAGTTTCCAAAATTATTCAAGTGCTGACTTCATCAATGGCCAACGCCCACACCCTCCTGTGGTAAGAGGCCAACCCTGCGTAAACCCTCCGTCTGCTGCACAGATTAAGCTGGCGTACGTGTACCTGTGGCATCCTATCGACCTGTACCTACCCCTTCTTCTGTAATTGCAATCATCTTCCGAACACGTTTCTTCTGCTGGCCGTTTTCCTGCTACCGAGCAAGCTCCTCCTGCTGCTGCCGATCAAAAACATCGCTTTTAAAGTTATCTTCATGACATTGGTAACGATAAAATGAATTTATTTTATTTAGTGTAGACCTGTAAGGGTTTGTAAAATCAACTGGAGCCAAAAACTCATCATTTTATGACATAAAGATGAACATACTCAAAATCAAGTTATAACACATGCACGGAAAGACACACCCATCCGTAGTTATTGTGAAAGCCATGAATTTGGAGATTATGTATATCAAAGTAACTTCATCAAAAGGGGTTTTGTCTGAAGCGTGATACAATAAACAGAGTTTGTTATGGACGTCATGACTGAACTAGTGTATTATCTCAAAATCCTCAAATCACGTGCTTTTGTTCGTCAGTAAACTTCGAAGGCTAACTATAGAGTATTTTCAAAAAAGGGGGCTAATTATGTGGAGTTCACAGCTAGTGTAGAGGATACCTAACAGAAGCGAGGGCAAGAGCAGAACAGAAAGGTTATTTAGGTGAGAACAAGGATAACAAAAATTATATATACATATAATGGTTTTATTATATGTTTAAAAATAAATGAAAGCCGAAAAAAATATATCCAAGAAGAAATGAAAATGTATAAGATCTTAATTACAGAAGTACACATAAATAAACATGCCTTTATTTGTAACAGTTGACAGGACTAGTAGACGATGGTTCAGAGATCAAATTTACCGAGAAAGAATCTTAGTCATATTGAGTTCGAGACGTATTTGTGGCATCGGGCATAGATAGAGATGATGACATGAGCTGGTACTACTTATGTTATATAACGGACTTTAAGGACAAGGATACAAAGACAATGGATGTTAAATGTGTTTCACAAGTAGAAGGTAGAACGGAGATAAACTATTTGGAGCAGAGACGCTGGACAAGATGCAATAGTCATGTTCAACGTTTACATGTGCGACAAAAGAAAGAGAACAGGAAACATGTGTTACAAAAACGATGGTCTGGCTTTGTTTCAATAACAATATGAAGCATTTTGTAGGATAGTTTTCAAACCGCAACCATCGGAGTTCATGACCACAAGACTATTTTACGTCTCGGCTATTGTATTAAGAATGGACACATGAACAAATATGCAGACACTATAAAGCAGAACGATAAGCGACATTTCAAGAATTGTTTGAAGTAAAACTCTTTATTAAGAATAAAGGAAAGGTGGTATTTTTGTTTTGGGGAAGAAACAATGTTTTTGTCATAAGCAAGTTCTGTTTATACGCGTTAATTTGCATGGGAAGAACTAATATAGGTTAAGCTACATAATTGGACGAGGCGGTTTGTTTTATTGGTAAGATTAAGTAGTCAGGAGTTGATAATCCAAGATTGGCGAAATTTAATGGACATTGAGAAGGTCAATAATTTGAGAGAGCGAAAAGCCACACCAAAATTAACGTGAACGATGCCTTTGACAAGATCCTTTGAAGCTGATATGGGATACTGACTTATAATTTAGTTCAATGTTGTATATGTTTTTTAAAGAGGGAGGTATTTACCTATGTAATGTTTGTTCCAAGCGCTACAAGACGTTTTGGGGAATACAAGATATATCGCTTTGGTTTTTTTTACAGGGTATAAGGCCGTTCTCAGGATTTCAATCTTATTTTGTACCTAACAATTAGAACCAAAAAGTTACTCGTTTGTAATGATTAATATATTATGCAGAGTACTTAACAAAAGCGGGAGCACCTGGTGAAGCAATCAATATAGAGGAGAAAACCGAAACGCGTTAGTCGCTTAAAATACTGATAGCAAACATAGGACTACCGAAAAAAAAAAAAGCCTATAAACTCTCAACGGACCTAAAATCTACTTGAAGAGAGCGTTTGAACTATTCAGCAAATTAAGTAGCTAATACATACAGTGCATCTATTTTACAATGAACAATTTTTGGCTCCGATTTTTCAAAAAAAAATAAAAACTCTATCTCCTCGATGAATTCAACAGGTATCCAAAATCCGGCTCTATTACATTCTTTATTAGAGAGTTCTCCACAAACTAATAGAGCCGGAATTTTTTTTTTCACACAAAATTTTTTACAGATGGCAAAACAAAATTGGCCATTTACAGTGGGGAGACCCAAAGATGTCCAGGAGGTGTTTTACAGTGCAAAAATTCATAAAAATCCAACAGATATATCCCGGTTAAACATTTTCCCGCGATAAATTAGATTTCTCTGTCAAAAAATATGAAAATCACCAGTCTAAAAATCCGACTTTTAAGTTCTGAAAATGTCCGTTTTAACGAAAATTGTTCATTGTAAAATAGATGCACTGTAGGATGGCAAAAAAGGCATTATTTGCTTAAAGTGCTTGTAACCAGCTTCGCATTACTAAGTACTACAGTCTATTAATTCTCAACGGACCAAAGTCGACTTGGAGAGAGTTTTCAAAGTATAACCGTTCGTCAGCGCATCCTTCAGCCCATACAAGTCTTACCAGATTACGCATTCCCCGATGGCAACAGCACCTTAATCAATAAGCGTAGGAGTGATCCCTAGAATGAAGAAGAATTCAGAATGAGTAATTGTTATAATTGAAAGAAAGTTCGAGAGAAAAATTAAGTCAACAAATACCCCAGTTATTATCTAGCTCTAGAAAAACCCAGTCACACCTGAAAACCATTTTGGCTCAATTTTCCTCAAATTTTCGTCCCATATAGACGGGCCAAGAATACGGCTAATAGTATTAAGCTTGAAAGCGCTAATATCTTCAGTAGGCTTGTTTTTTTTAAACAGCGCAATTTTTAAGGAGTGATAAAAAAATTGGGGGTGCGGGGTGAATCCTTCCGCCCAAGAATACAGCTCATAGTATCAACGTTGTCCCTTTATTTTTTTCTAAAACTTGTCAAATAATAGTGCAAATTATGCGTCCTGTAGTCAAAAAGGTCATAGTCGTGGATCCCACCTAGATGTTCCTTTAAATCCAGTAAACCTAAATACGAATGTAGTCATCTCTTCCTTTTTTTTTTTTTTTTTTTTTTTTTTTTTTTATTTGAAATTACTGACGTTTTTATAGGTGACATCATTGAATAACCATGACAATGCACTAAATAACCAAACCTCAGTTCTTGTGGTACAGCAAAAAGAAATTTTTTTGTAAGCATTTTAACTAAGATTGATTCCAAATTGGACATGGAGGTAGACGAACCTGAGTTCATTTCAACTCATGAGCCAGTCCAAGAAAGAATAGTCCGCTGTTCAACATGTCAACAACCTGGGCATTTAAGGAGAACTAGCCTTTTGTACCGCTAGAATAGTAATCGTGCACACCAGACTATAAATCAAGCAAAGCAAACTCAAATACTGCCCAGTAGACATTGTTTGGGAAGGATGACCAGTATGTGTTCTAACTGCAATGCATTCATGTGCGTCGTAGAAAGGTCAGAAAGCAGTCTTCATAATGGCAGTTTTCAACTCTGTAGTGGATTGGATAATAAAAAGAGACACCATTTCACTCTACACCTGGACTTATATCCAACTTATTACGCGAAAATGATCAAAGAAACAAGGAGTTTAAAAAACACATGCGGTCTAACCACAATGCCTTAGGCTTTACTTCCATGGGTATCAATTGGGACGAATCTGTTCGGAACTCTCGCGGCGGGGCGTATTCTTTTCGAATTCATAGCAGCATTTATGACCAAATTGGATTGTTGCTCCAATCCAACAATGTTGCACCATCATTTGCTCAAATTTATGTCTTTGATGCTTAACATGGGATTGAAAATTGAGACCGTATTACAAGCCATGTCGACATCAACACGTTAGGAGACTTACAAATTCTAATGCATGATATCAATCCTATAGTCAGACACTTTAAGACGATGAGCCAATATTTAATTGAGAATTCAGATTACGTTGCAGATGTGGCACTGGTATTCCAGGCAAAAGAATTCCCAGATGCACGAAGACATGATTCACCAACTAGTTGGATTGAAGTTGGGATATTAATTTTGGGCAGTGACAATAGACCGGAAGGGGATTAGATTAAGGTTAGAGAAATTATTATTAGGCCCCAAACTCATGGTCAACGTAAGAGTATCAACGAGTTACACCAGACATACGATCCAATATCTTACGCTTTGATATTCCCAACAGATCAATCGGGATGGCATAAAGAATGTGTATCTGATAACGGTTTAAAAGTCACTACAATGCAATTTTATAGTTTCCGTCTCCGGTTTAGAAACTAGGGGCATGATTTCCGTCTTTATGGAAAACTATTTTATCAGTGTAATGTGGATATGTACGCTAAGATTGACCAGTTTCGTTTAAGCGTTATAAGAAATAACCAGGCCAGTCTTCGAACCGAACTTTGCCGTGTTATAAAAGATGCTGTTGCACCTGATGTCAATGATAGGAGCTCTAATGGTTGAAAACGTATTCTTCGAAGCTCCTTCATTGGTGGCCCACAACATATGTCCCAGTTGTATCAAGATGCCACTAGTAATATTAGAAGTTTTGGAAACCATGATTTTTTACTTCTTTTACCTGTAATCTTACATGGCCTGCAATTCCAAGCGAGTTTTTGTATGGTCAAACTGCTACAAACAGGAAAGAAAGGCAGAAAAATGTCATCCGCAAGTTTTTTAATTTATATGGAATTATTAAATATGCGAATTAGCCTAAAAGATTCTTTAATTATTGATAGTCCTTCTTCTGCGACCACGTCTGGCTAATGGAGTATCTTTTTCCAAAGACACATCATCATTTTCTCTACCAGACTGCTCTTCATTGGGTATAGAGAAACTCTCTGGTTGCTCTAGTCCGAGACCAGGAGGGATGATCTCTTTATCATCGGACAAAGAGCTTGACTTCTTTTTCGACACTCTCTGCAAAACAAAAATTACATTAGTTGCTTAACAAATAACCGAACTTCCTTTTTTATAATGTACGTACCTTATCTCCCAATGTGTTGTGAGCAACACTAGCCAGCAGTCTTTCAGCTCCCAGTGATCCAAGCATTGATCCAATCCTATCTTACCTCTTCTGGCCAGCGCTTCCAAAGCAAGGATATACTTCATCTTGAGCTCACGGGAATGCATACTCCATGTCTTTATACTAAGACCTGGGTCTGAATGGACCTCTGCCTTCAATTGTGTGATGCATAATTTAGCATAATCTCTCAATACACCATACAAGGATTTCAATTCCACGTTCTTCATTTCAATTTCTTCTTGACTTTGCTCAGGTGTATAACATAAATCAGGTCGAACACACAACAAGAACTCCCAGAGCGCCTCTCTGTCACTAATACTACCAGGTTTACTCTTTTCGGTTACAATACCAGTGTCAGGCTTTTTACCTCCAGGAAAACGAGCGATACTTATGACAGCCGATTGATCGGTCATCTGATCGACTGTTATAAAAACGTGTTAGTTGTATGTCAAAGTATACCAATGCCATGTTATGATTACCTCTTCTCGGTGTCAAGTGAGTCACGCTCCCTCCAATCAACCGTTCCTCCATGGCGTCAAGACGATCGCTTACCTGGGAGTGGTTGGATCGGATTTCGGTTTGCAAATAAAATACTAGCTTTTGAAGTTCGATGATGGTACGAACCATGTCATTTGTGTTATATGCGGGCATTTTCAAATTATTTTATGATGTAGATTGATAAAAACCGCTTTGTCAGAAAAAAACGCGCTATATATATATTCTCCATATTCGTGTACGTCATGGTTTTTACATCATATCCATGATATAATCCATGGTACTATATAAAAAATATTAGCACTCGTTGCAATACGTAATGACAGCTGTCTGGGATCCAAAATTGGATCTAGTGGTTAATGCAACTGCGTTAAATACTTTATGTTCGGATTAGATTACGGCATCTTTCTTTAACACTTCCCTCGATTTAATTCCATGATTTCATCACGTAATTTTACTTGCAGCTATTGCGACAGTCTTTTTGAAAACCATGCTCGAATGGTCGAGCATCAACGAAGAGTAAAATGCCATTTATTTGCAGTAAGAATTGGAATGAACAATATCAATACCAATACACAAGATGATGCTGAAGAAGAGCTTACTTCCGTCCAAAATCTTGATGAGCATTATGCGGACGATGATACTGTAATGGAAGAAGCTGCAGGTAATAATAATAAAAATTATGGTAACAAATTTCTAACTTACAATGTATTGCTACAATAACTAGCACGCGATGACCCTTTCATGGTCGAAGATGCGATCAGATACAAGCACTTTGACGACGATTACAACTGGAACATAATCCAAAAGTTTCGCATAGGCTTAATCAAGCTTCTTGACCATAACGGTGTTTCAAGACAGGTCCAGCGTGATGTCGTAAAGCATGTCAATGGAAACCTTCTTTCCTACATTGATCCTGTTGCTGTCTCAGGTAAATTAAATATTGACTCACAGACTTCCTTTCATACTAATTTCAATTTAGACTTGGGCGGGTTACTTTCTTCTCCAGAGGCTATTCATAGATTACTTGATAAAGGCAGCATTGATTCTGTGAAAATGTATGATGTGTGTCGCGAAGGATGTTTTCTTTTTGATGATAACGTGCAGCAATCACATTGTATCAACCCTGCTTGTGGTGGCGATACAAAAACCAAAATGAAGCTGAGGAATCAATCCGTGCGGGCGACATTTCACCTCCAAAAGCCTTTCAAACCATGGCTATGTCTTCTGTCGGGGCTTCACTTGCGGAACTACTGGTCGACGACGAAATCCGTGAAGACTTCAAGTACGCAAGCCAATTCAGCGAGTATGATGAAGATGGCGTCTACATTGACATGTTTTCCGGTTCGGTGTACAAAGAATTTCTTCGTCAAAATTTGCTCACACGCAAAGACATCTGCCTTGTTCTTTACGTTGATGGGTTTCCCAACCAATCCAAACCCGGAAACTCTCAAACGTTAATCAATTGCATGGTGATGAACATTCCTGCTTCTAAATGGTATAGAACTTAAATTTACTTGTATATGTTGTCTTAATCGAACTTACCTTTTCGTTGTTAGAGCAAAGGAGTCGATGATGATTCCACTGGCTATTTTACCTGGCCCAAAAAAGCCCAAGTATTTGATGAGTTTTTTGACGCCAATCATCGAGGAAATTAATTCGTTGTGTGCAAGAGGATTCGTCGTTGAAAAAACCAATGAAATCGTCCACGAAAGTAAAGTAATCTTGCTCGGAATGACTGGTGATATTCCAGGAATTGCTGACTTTATGAATCATCGTGGACACATGAGCAAATATGGCTGCAGAATTTGCAAAATTGCTGGCAGACATCCTGAAGGTTGCCTTTACGGTATGTACTTCTTGGATGCAAGAGACATGAGAACCAAAGACGAATTAGTCAATGGCGATGCGGTAAATTGTTCAAAGTGTGTACCAATATTTTTAAGATACTAAACGCAGTATGAATTAGCGATTCGATATGCTTGGTGTTGATCCTGTTATTATCTCTCTTTCCACCTTCACTGGTACATCTTTTTTTCTTGGTGACGAGATGCATTTAATTGGTAGAGGGCTTGGTGCTTGGGTGTATACTCTTTTGGATCCCAAGAAAAACAAAACGTTCCGTGAATTCATCACTCAAGATGCACAATATACCTTTGGTTAGAACTCACGTGATGACACTATCATCAAAAAGATTGACGAAAAGGTGAAGCAGAGCAGGGTTTACATACCATCAGCTTTTGAGGGAACTTGAGATGGCGGTGTAGGTATCGGAAGAACTGTCGATTATTTAGACTTTCTCTTGTACATTGTTCCGACCATTGTACTTCCATTGGTCCAGAACAGTAAAACAAAATGTGCGTTGATGGAATTGGTGGAGGAATGTTCCACTGCTTTGCAGTGGCTTCTTTCTCGTAGGGACATTGCAAAAATGAAAGGGTAACATGACAATCAGAGACTAGCTTTTAAAAATTAGACATTAACGCAAACATTTAGATGTTTTAGTAGTTGGCATACGTTTTTGAATCGAGAGATTGTTGCAAGTCGTATCAATGCGCGAGAGTTCACAGCAAATAACCATTATTTGATACATCTGCCGTATTTGGTTGAACAGATGGGGCCATTAAAATGCTACTCTTGCCGACCAATGGAGCGGACAATTAAGAAGCTCACCAATGTGATCAAGTCCACGCATCTTATAGGGGCAAATGCTTCGAACGTCCTTCGTCACCAGGCTAATTATAACAAGATGGCGGTTAGATGTCTGCAGTCTATTCGATTCCCAGAATCTACGGATCGTCCAGACACCTACTGTTCGCATTCCTCTGGTGCTCAAGTCTGGTGTTCGTTTGTACCTCAGTCATTGCTTGGATCGGATTCGGAAGATATATGCTTCGGTGTCCCGAGATCGAAGGTGATTGATGCATTGATATCATGTTATGATCAAAAGGTTGAGAATGAAATCGAGCAATTGACCTCGTCATCCATTGTGATTGCAAGTCCTGCTTGGAACGATGGCTTGGTATTTTCTTCGATTATGGACATAGCCTTGAAAAACTTAAAGACAAGAGCAAATAATATTGTCCTGTTTAAGGCTCCCAAAAGTACTGGTCACAGGTAAGCAAGAGACAATTGACAAACTTTATTGGTACTTACAGCATAAGAATTAGATCTATTTCCATTTGTTTTGTCGGTGTGGTTCACTGCTGCTTTACACACAAGCAAGAATACGAAGAACATTTTTTTGGCTGTCGTTGAAGTATTGAAGCAGCAGCAACTCGACGATCACAATGTTGTGACAGTTGCTCGGAATTCCAGGGGTGACAGATACAAGACGTACGCTGTTATTTCCATTACAGACATTCTCCAAGTGGTTGGTCTTGTACGGTATTCCGATTCCGCTAACTTTTTCAAGGTTGTTTGGCCGTCCATTAAATATACTGACAAGGTTAATCATTTTCCTGCTGGTTCTTTAGCTGATTTGTAAGTTGGTCGTATCTTTCTCTGTTGTGCGTAGACAAGTTTAATTGTAATTAAACTCTTGTCAACAATTCATCTAATGGAGTGATCACTATTTCATTCAATCTGTTGTGTTAATTGGCAATGTGTCATTTGGCAATGCTTGTAAAATAAAAAAAAAAAAAAAGGAAAGGAAAAAAAAATAAAAGAAATTATATTCCGGTGGTCGTGTATTTTATCCACCAAGCTGCGTCCTTCCGCAACATATCGCAGAATTACACTACCGAGTCCGCGCCTGTGTTAATTGTCTCTCTGGTTATAATGAGATCATTTGGCTTTCCTACGTAATAGTAAAAACATCACCCCATAATGTTGAGCGTTGCGGAGGAGCAGTTGATTGCGAGCAATGGCGATTAATAGGTGGTCATCTCTTTTTGTTTTATTTAATTGACGGAATGAGAATTTTCATGTCGTAGGTGACACTCTTTTGGCTAGTAAAATATAACAAGTCCAAATTTTAGTGGCTTAGGAAATTTTTTTTTTTAAGACAAGGGCGTGTTGTTTTCTTTTCTTTTTCTTTTCTTCCCTATACCAGTCTTAAAAAAATGCTAGTACACCTTCTTTTCGACGAGTAAGTATAATTTTCACAATTAACATGTTCAATATATAACTGATCCTAATGTTGACATTCAATAGCCTTATGTGTGAATTGGCTTATCTTGCCCTTTTCTTTTCGGCTCTCCCTTGGTTTTTGGCCAAGTTTGGTTTTTTTTCCGCGTGGAAAAAAATTGATTGGTCTTTTGGCTTTCTTTGGCGCGTGGTAGCTGGTCTCCGACCCAACCGTCCTTCTCCGCCAGAGGCAATTGGTGAATTGTACTTTTGTACTGGTCGGGGTTTTTACCCCATCTCCTTGCGAGATCGAGTGCCTGTTTCGCCCTTGCCTGCTGCGTCTCCCCGTTCGTCTGTTGGTGCTTCTGCTTCCGCTCCTGCTTGCTTTCCCCCCGCTGTCTTGTCTCCTGTTCGTGAGGTTCCACGCCTGGAATTTTCCTTTGCGTCTCGTCCTCCGACAATCGTAAAAGACGAAAGCAAATGTTATTTTCTGGACTGTGCCTTTGCTCGTGGCTTGCCTTGTGTTGGTGGTGGTGTGGTGCCTTCTTTTCCTCCCCTCCCGCAATACCATCCTTCCGTTCCTCTCTTTGCCTTTGTGGGCGAAGTCATTAGCCAGTCTTGGCTTGCTGAGAACGCTTCCTGTCTTGGTTCGGAGGATTTGCCTGCTCCTTCTGTTGCTGGTTGTTCGGCTGTTGCCACGTCGTCCTCGTTTGTTTCTTGCTCCGGGGTCTCATCGTTGGATTGTAGCACGCCATCACCCCTTGTGTCTGGTAGCTTGAATCCCTTTGTCGAGCCTTTCCCTTCTTCGACTGTTGTTGAGTCTTCTCCTGTTCCGGCTGCTTTGTCTGTGGCTTCGGCCCAGCCAGTGGCTGTTGATGTTGGACCTGTGGCTGTTTCTGGACCTGTTGCTGTTTCTGGACCTACTGCTGTCCATCTTCTTGATGCTGTCTCTCGTCCTGTTGCCGTTCCGCGCCGTCTTGCCGTTCCTCGTCCTGTTTCTTGGGGTCGTCGTGTGGGTGTTTGTCGTTCTGTTGGCGCTGGTACTGCCTCCTCTTCTGTGGTTGTTTTTCCTTCTGTCGGTCTTCCTTCTCCTTGTGAGAATTCAAACACTGGAAGCAAACGAAAAACACCTCCTCCCTCCCCACCATCATCTCCTCGTCGTCGAGTTTCCCGTTGTCCTTCCTTGGACAATGTGTCTTTGACTGTCTCTTCTGCCTCTGTGGTCTCTTCTGCTCCTGTGGTGTCCTCTGCTTCTTTGGTCTCTTCTGCTCCTGTGGTCGCTTCTGCTCCTGTGGTCTCTTTTGCTCCTGTGGTCTCTTCTGTTCCTGTGGTCTCTTCTGCTCCTGTTGTCTCTTCCGTGTCTTCTGTCTCTTCTGTCTCTTCTGTTCCTGCGGTCGGTGTCGTTGAGGCCTCCTTCATCTCTGTTTCCCTTGCGCGACCTATTGCCATGCCTTACGTGGCACATTATGAAAAAGCCAGGGAGAGACAGAGTTTGAGGGACCTCTTCGACGCCGCCGAAAAGGAAGGTAAGCTATTTTTATTTCTAAACTTCTTGAAAAAGTTTGATTGATTAACTATTGTTATTTTGTAGAAGAAGAGGAATTAAAGAAGGAAGAAGAAAAGAAGGAAAAAAAATCTCTATTTCGCGGCAGAAAATAAATTTTTTTTTATAAAAGCTTAATTTACTGGGATCAATTACTACAGGTGTTTTTTGTTTGATTGGGTATTTGGTATTTGTTTTAAAACGAGACTTTCAAATGAAGTCATTTCATGCTAAAGATTGAGATCGCTTCAATGAGCTTCTTGCTCATCTCTCGAATGACGACTCGGACAAGGAACAGTAGTGCGATTTTAAGGGCCCTCACAAGCAGCATACTTATTTTTTTAAAGTTCCCGATTCAGGACTTTATTACTTTTTTTTTGAATCGTTACTTCAGGGAACAACTGGCGTACTGGCGAGAGGAAGAAGGACACTTTTCTTTTATGTCTGACTGGTCTTGCTGGAAGATGGACGATAAATCATTTGATGAATGATAGGAAGACCTTCGAAAGCCTACTATATGATGACGGTACCTAGGATTGTATCTTGGACAAGTGCAAAAACATTACAAGACGGAGGAATGGTATGACTTACATACCAAGCACTAAGTGGAACGTACTCAATCTAATGAAGCGACACATTTGGCATTTATAGAGATAAAACGTTATCATATGCAACGTGCTAGACCTGATTTTATTGATCGTACTGAAACGCAAAACGTCAGAGATATCATGAAAGGTTTATTACCTGAAGTTCGCATTTTTGTGAAAAGAAGCTCAGAAGACTATAGATGGTCTGGATGGTTTGGAGAAGTTGCTGCGCTGTGCAGAGAGTTGTCTGTACGATAACCGTAAGGTTTTAAATGTTTCATCATATGACGAAAGTCTCGTGGGTAGAACTTAAGTAAATACTTTACGCTGAATTGAAAGAAATTCGAGTCGCACAGACCCTTCAAGTGGTACAGGCAATAACAGCAAGTCGAATATGACGGATTTTCAACCACTAGTACTAGCCAAGTTTTGAAAGCTCGATATTATTGAAAATGAACTAGCTGTGGTCAAGGATCTTGTTGACATGATGGAGAAGAACAACGCTACTCAAATGGGTCAGTCCACCTATTCAGGTCCCACTAATAACCATGTTACAGGTGGAAATAAATTAAGGAGTTTCAATTGTGATGGTGTAGGACATTTCGCTAGGAATTGTAACTTGGTGTCTAATACTTGTGAACAGGCAAACCACTCGTCTTTTGACTGTCCCAATCGTAATCATTAGAACCGTGGTGAAGGTCAAGCAAACAATTCCATTCAACAACAGAAGGACTTTAAGAACAGCCCCTAGAGGCTTAGAAGTAGAGGGACATTCCAGTAAAGTAGTCCTAAACCAAATAGTTCATCGATACACGTTATCAAACACGGAGCCAAAGTTGAGGAACACAAGGTATATGCAACTGGTACTTCGAAGAAGACTCCAGAAGAGTATAAAGAGATTAGGTTACAGAACTTACAGAAAACAAGAAAGGCCAAGGCAGAATACAAAAAACCTTGATGTTGAAACAAAGCAGCGGGACAAAATCCCACCGTCGATCGCGAGAAACCTGGAGCGGGAGTTCCCTATCATGTTGGACGATGCAAAACATATGGAACACCTGGATCTCAAAAAGCAGTTACGGGATACGCAAATACCCGTTGCTTTACCTTAACTGTTATATTTCGCACCTGAACTGTGATATAAATACCTTAATATACTAGATGGTCAGACCTCGACTAATAGGACGTAATCGGTGGTCAAAGGTATGGCTGAGTCTATGAAGATTGACAACGATGAGCTACCAGCGGTGAATATGATCAACTTGGATGCGACCAGTTTGGGTCCGGATGGAACTAGTCTGCAATCAATGCTAGTCATTGAAGAATACCAACGCAATTGTAAGTTTCTGATCAATGGTGGTGCTGTAGTATCAATAGTCCATTGGTATATGGTCAAACGATTGGGAAAGGAATTATCAGTGTTACCAACAGATACAGTTTTCGGATTCGCAGGCGTGGAAATTGATATTCCAATTGGTGTGGTTAAGCCAGAGTTGCAATTTTCAACTGAAGTTAAAATTCACCATTCATCCTGTAAACGTCAGCCTACTTTGGCTCCAACCTTCATTGGCATGAATTTTATCTTGGCAACCAAGGTAGCAACAAATCGACATCTGAACAATTTGGTGTTTACCTGTCAGGAGCGGACAGGCGGACAGGACAAACAGAAGAATATTTGCCTACAAGAATAAAGGATAATCATTATTTATTAGAATAGAGAGAGAAAGAAAGAGGGAGAGAAAGAAGAAGAGAAAAGAGAGGCTTATCAGAGAATTTATCTGATGAAGGGGATAAAAGAAGAGGAAACTTTAGGCTGTATTTATAGCAAAGGATTGTATAGTTATTTAGTACAAAAATAAGCAATGACAAAGTTTAGTAATTCATTACTTATTTAGGACAGATTTGATGATTGATGGCTGACACGTAGATGATAAGGTGCTGACAAAGAAATACCAAAATTAATGCATCTACGTGACAAGATCATGATATTATGTATTAAATTATTACTTGAAGATTTTTCCTGCGCAGATCGAATTGATTGTCTACCCTCAAGCACTAAAACGATGTAATAAGATTTGTAAATCAGCTACATAAGAAACATAACTTATTGCTAAATATAAGGCAGTTAGGTGACCCATATCCGGCACTTCTGGTGTATTATAGGCTGTTCTCAAGCAAAAAAATTTGATACCCCCCTCTTTTTGTAAAAATTTGATACCCCCCTCCATAACGAAATTATAACCTTAAATTTCATATTCCTCAGCCAAACACCGTTCAAAATTCATACTAACCATTTAAATAATTAATCCAACCTCAGAGGGTGGATTAATTCTTAAAATGGATTTGCAAACCCCTCTGATGTAATAATTTCATCAATCAAAACATACTAAAATGACCCCACTAGTTGACAGTTTGACCATGGCGATTTTGAACATTTTCTTTTGTTCATTTCTTTATTCTTAATAATAAAAATTCGCAAATAATTTAAATATTACCTTTATAACCAATGTTTGGCACCATCGATTTCAACGCACCTTCAAGCTCAAGTGCTTCCACTCCCAACGCCCCCGAGTCTAGTACTCCTATTGACAATGAGAGAGCAAGAGGTCCAGGTTGGAATACAGCAGAATAGTTGCTGTTAATCGAAATTTACGATAAGAACTTGAGTTCTCTTGAAAAAACTAAAACTGACCAAGAGAAAGGAGAGAAGTATCTTGCTATGTCATTAGAGCACAATGAAAAGGCTCTTCGTCAGAATATGAGAAGTCGCACGTCTGATGAACAAAAAACCAAGTGGAAGCGTATGGTGAGAGACTTCAAAGCGGAATTTGCTAGACGTCAATCAACTGGTGAAGCAGGTTTTGAAACAGATGTTATTTATAGCAAGCTGGAAGATATTTTAAAAAAATATCCAACAATTTTGCCACCAGTCACTTACTCATCTCATTCCAGACAGTTCGTTGACAATACTAATGGTGTAAATCAAGGATCATCTACAGCTCCAGCTGAATCTTTGTCTGTACCTGTTACAGAACATGAAGGTCCTGCTCCTCCTCAAGAATCGCAACCGCCTTCTTCACGCAGAAGAGTGGAAACACCCCCTCCCAATCACGCCTCCACTACTATTCCTCCTGTCAACCATTCTACAACTCCCCCAGCCAATCTGTCATGATCATGTCACGTAGATGCATTAATTTTGGTAATTCTTTGTCAGCACCTTGTCATCTACGTGTCAGCCATAAATCATCGAATATGTGTCATAAATAAGTAATGACTTACTAAACTTTGTCATTGCTTATTTTTATGCTAAATATCTATAAAATCCTTTACTATAAATATAGCCTAACGTTCCCTCTTCTTTCTTCCCCTTCATCAGATATATTATCTAACAACCCTCTCTCCTCTTTTCTTCTTTTTCTCTCTCTCTCTCTCTCTTATAATAAAAATAATAATTATCTTTTATTTCTTTGTTCTTGTAAGCAAGTATTCTTCTGTCTGTCCTGTCCGCCTGTCCGTTCCTGACAATTTGTATGTGACTTTCAGTTTCTGGAATTTGAAAATCATGCGCCATGTCATAAAGAATGTGAATAACCTTAATTACATTCATTCTGTCATACCCCTTAAATATATTATCGATTATATGTGATTTTTGAAATGATTTATGTCTGAGAAAAAACAATTATATACATGTATTTTATCTGGTTTCTCTGGGATTGGCTTTCTTTTATTCATATTTTTATATATACTAATAATAATTGGAGACCAGAGTACCTCCACTGTAATACGTTTGCGAAACATCGCTTTTAAAGGTAACTTCATGAAAGCAGTAAAGATCAAATGAATTTATTTTATTTAGTGTAGACCTGTAAGGGTTTGTAAAATCAACTCGAGCCGAAAACGTATCATTTTATGACATAAAGATGAACATAATCAAAATCAAGTTATAACACATGCACTGAAAGGCACACCCATCCGAAGTTATTGTGAAAGCCATGAATTTGGAGATTATGTATATCAAAGTAACTTCATCAAAAGGGGTTTTGTCTGAAGCGTGATACAATAAACACAGTTTGTGATGGACGTCATGACCGAACTAGTGTATTATCTCAAAATCCTCAAATCACGTGCTTTTGTTCATCAGTGAACTTCGAAGGCTAACTATATAGTATTTTAAAAAAAGGGGTTAATTATGTGAAGTCCACAGCTAGTGTAGAGGATACCTAACAGAGGCGAGGGCAAGAGCAGAACAGAAAGGTTATTTAGGTGAGAACAAGGATGGCAGAAATTATATATATATATAATAGTTTTATTATATGTTTAAAAATAAATGAAAGCCGAAAAAAATCTATTCAAGAAGAAATGAAAATGTATAAGATCGTAATTACAGAAGTACACATAAATAAACATGTCTTTATTTGTAACAGTTGACAGGACAAGTAGACGAGGGTTCAGAGATCAAATTTACCGAGACAGAATCTTAGTCATATTGAGTTCGAGACATATTTGTGGCATCGCGCATAGATAGAGATGATGACATGAGCTGGTATTACTTATGCTATATAACAGACTTTAAGGACAAGGATACAAAGACAATGGATGTTAAATGTGTTTCACAAGTAGAAGGTATAGCGGAGATAAACTATTTGGAGCAGAGACGTTGGACAGGATACAATAGGCATGTTCAACATTTACATGTGCGACAAAGGAAAGAGAACAGGAAACATGTGTTACAAAGACGATGATCTGGCTTCGTTTCAATAACAATATGAAGCATTTTGCAGGATAGTTTTCAAACCGCAACCATCGGAGTTCATGACCACAAGACCATTTTACGTCTCGGCTATTGTATTAAGAATAGACACATGAACAAATATGCAGACACTATAAAGCAGAACCATAAGCGACATTTCAAGAATTGTTTGAAATAAAACTCTTTATTAAGAATAAAGGAAAGGTGGTAATTTTGTCTTGGGGAAGGAATAATGTTTTTGTCATACGCAAGTTGTGTTTATACGCGTTAATTTGCATGGGAAGAACTGATATAGGTTTAAGCTATATAATTGGACGAGGCGGTTTGTTTTATTGGTAAGATTAAGTAGTCAGGAGTTGATAATCCAAGATTGGCGAAATTTAATGGACATTGAGAAGGTAAATAATGTAAGAGAGCGAAA